CATCTAAATATAAATTCAAGCATTGTTTTTGCTTACCTATTACTGTTTTTTTTTTTTATAAAAAACCAATTATTAAAGTAAAGGGTTCTAGGGTATTTACATAAACACACAAAAACTAATTTAATAGTATTGGACTTATACAATTAAAATAATTTAAATAGAATAACTACTCTTACAATTTTTCTATTGACGTTAAAAAATATAAGAGTTTCAAGTATTTGGCATCATAGAGTAGATTACAACCATTCAAATTGTATACATAATTCACACATATATTGATGTATATATTTAATATATACATATTTAATTTAAGACACTAAACAGTTAGCAATAAAAAATTAAGTTTAATTGAAATATTAAACATATAAAATAATCAAAACATTTTTTTTTTTTNGTTTTAGGTGACACAAATTAATTATTTAAAATACTCGAATAAAAATAAAGAAACACACTGATTATTGCTCGTCAAAAGGAGTCCAGTTGTCGCTCGTAGAATTCGGTATAGAGAGGTTGTTAATCTGTTTTCGCGGTGCGCCTGCACTCGCGAGAGGCTGTTTCACTCGAGGAAGGTGCTCATGCACTGCTGAAGGGACGATCCGGTTGTGCCGGCCAGAGAGTGATAGGCGGCTTCATCAAAAGGTTGTTTTGTACATCCGATTTCTCTTCTGTGACAAGGACCTTTTTTACCATACCTTTTCTCCGGCGGCATGTAAGAAAGCCACACGTCCTACGCTCTACAGTTGCAAACATAGGTACGTGTCGATTTCTTAATCCCTGATCGTATAATATAATTAGACAATTTTGTCTGTGACAATAATTTATTGGGGTCTAGAGATTTCCGATTTCTACGTGTGACAGTCTGACCGTTATTTATTTATTTATTTGTTATATCTTAAATAATTGTTACAATGATGTGTGAGCATATCATTACAGCGCGTAGTCGTATGTGTAGCAGAAGTCCCCCGACCATTGCAGCAAATCGCTACCGGCAATATTATTATTTGTCGAATAGATATAAGTAATAATAATGTATACATTATTATTATTGTGGAAAAACAAAAACATCATAATAAATGTCATACAAAATTAGTTCACTGGCCCAACTTGTAAAATGGATTTATTTTAAGGCTAAGAAACGAATTGTGGGTAGCATGCAGGTACGGGAAAACATATCGTTAAATAGTATTAAGAAACTATATGAGAGTTAATTAATAAATAGGTGCTTTAAGTAGTTTAAAAATGTAACTACCTAATATAAATATTATCTACACATATTTTATAGTTGGCCAACAATAAATAATAAGCAACAAATAATGTATTAATTTACTACACGAGAAACCAAAAATAAGTGTAAACTTTTATGAAGTAGTTCGAGGAAAACAATTGTTTTAATGTTATAATATTATATTAAATATTTTGCATTGTTTCTCAACTTGAGAAGATTCAAATATTCTTATAGTTGGATTATTTGAGGAGGTAAATTGATACCTTTGCTCCCCCACAGTTACTCCACTGGTTATTGTAATTTGTAACGTGTAACCCAAAGGGTAGATGCATACCTATAGTGACTTGGAAAAAGAACAAAAAAGAGTTGACCGCGGAATGGTTTGGTAAATTAGCTGCGATACAACATAAAGGAAACACTGTGATTGCGTGAACGTAAGAGTTTATTCTTGCGATACATTGAACTTAAGTAACAGGAATGCATGCCGTATACCGTGGTCACCGTTTAAATCAATATAGTTGGTACCGAAATCGTCGCATCGACACCGCCGCCGTCGACGTGAAAACCGAAAAACGAGCAGCGCTGGCTTATGAGATCCCGGTACTTCAAACCCCCAACCGAACAAATCGTACAACGTAATTTTCACATTTTAGATTCTGAATGTATTTTGTGTGTGTTTTTTTCGTGTCTGTAGAGTGAACACCTGCAGTGGTCGGCGACCGGCGGCCCGCATTCAGACATCGCTACTGCTCCATTATATGGCACGGCGTGACAATTCAAAAAATAATTTGTTACCAATAAATTATCTTATTTACAATAAAATCGGTATAAATATAAATTATAAATCTTTTGCACTTTCGTGTCTCGACTCGAGAGTGTGAAAAATTGTAAATAACAGGTGTTTAAAATTTTAGATTTTGGTTTTGAAGATCGTCCACCCCTCTCGGCATCAATGCATCATGAGAAATTATTATTTATTACTAGGGCTTGGATTAAAATACAAATTGCATTTTTTTATTTATAAAACATTGTGAGAAAATTTATTTTATACATCTTTGAGATAAAAAATGAAATTTTTATTTTCCATTTTTTTAAAAAACTTTTTTGATTTTTAGAACATTTTTTTGGTGTTTATAGAACATTTTTATGGTTTGAAGTCATATTTTGCACAATTAAACAAAATAATACTATTTATGGGCGAATACCTGTACAGGTATAGTTTCGTGCGTCCAATGAAGGTTCTTAATTCATAAAAATAAATTTTACTTGTTTTTTATTATATTGTTGTATGTTGTTTTGTGATTTTGTAATATTCTCTAGTAGTTTCTTTGTTTAGTTGTTTAAAATGAAAACTTGAAGAAAGGGTAGCTCCCAGAAAATCAGAGAGAGAAAAAGGAAGCTCTTAGAAAAATCAAGTAAGAGCTGTTTAAATATCGACCTACGGTTTTCATTAATTATTGGGACTCAGTAATAGAGTAATACATAGTACCCTGTATTTAAAATAAATTATTAAACACATTATTTAATCTTCAGTGGTTTCCTTTAAAATGTGTGGAGTATTCAACCTTTACTTATTAAAACATTGGTACCTAAATTTAAGTTTTTACATTTTTGTGATGACGAAATGGTAAGGGCCGGATAAAATATAAATCCTCGGGCCGCATAGTTGCTCCAGTCCACCCCATAAAACAATTATTTTTTTAAATAAGACTAAAATATTTTATCCGATACGGCTAACGAATCTTTTTTAATTTTTGAATGTGTTTCATGAGTCCAAGAGTTTGACAACCCCTGGTGTACACGATAAAGTATTCAAAATAAATAATAATGCTTTGATTTTTAACTTTAACATCTTTTCTGTAGTGAATCTAGTTGATCGAAATAGAAAATTGACAGTAGTTTCAAAATGATATCGTTATTGACTTTAACACAAAAACGAAGAACTTATATTTTTCACCTAATATTTATATTACTATCTTCTATAAGCCATAACAGTTTTTAAATATTAATATAACTTGAGCTCTTTTTAAGATATTTATAGGCACACGAAATTTTTTATTTAATTATGCACGATCAATTGTTTTTTGCTCGGTCAATTGAATATTTAATATCATTTAAGATTTTTAAAAGTTGATCGTAAATTCACAATTATTTTTTACAAGCGCCTAATGTTAAAACGTTTACAAAACTCGTCAAAATAATGACCATTTGCAAATTATATTAAATAAAATATTTGTATAATTTTTAATTTTTGTACCTAAAATTTGAAAAATTTAATACAACATTCCTAATTAATCTAATTAATTTTTTATATCTGGAAACTAACGATTTCTTATTGAATGATTTTCTTATTTTCTTGTAATTTTCTCCAAATGTTTATATTTACCTTTTCTATATGTGTACAATATTCAAAATATTTCGGCTCTTTTTGAGTTATATAGGTACAGGAATAAGAAATATTGGTTTTTAAATTGTAGTTTTTATCAAAGTTTTGGTAAAAAAACTTTTAAAATTAAATACAATAGGACCAATAGGTTCCTCATAAGATGTTACTATAATAATTTAAAAATATAAAAAATATATAGGTACGATTCGTTTTGTACGCATTTAATGTTAACATTTTTACAAATTCTCCTGTTGTTAATTTAAACTTGAAGTATCTAATAAAAAATATATAATATTTATAACATAATATATGAATTTTTCTTGAAAAGACTTGAGGTAATGCAGTACCTACTTTTAAATTACATCGCTGAAGATACAGGAGAAGCGTTATGTGGGCTAAGCCATGGAGTGGAGAGGGAATTAACATTTTTAGGAACAAAACTACTATACTAAGCTATATTTTATGTTATTATAATAATTATTTCATTTGATGTAGGTTTTTAAACATTTTTTTTTTCATAAAATTATTTTATAATCAGTAAATTATTTTCAAATAAAAATAAAATATTGAAAAGTTAAAATTTGAACATTTTCATTTTAGTTGCTGTACAAAACATAACAAAAACCTTCTATTTTTAGATAATAAATAAATAATTTATATAGCTGTACACGATATTGTGTGTCCTAAATTAGTTAGTCTGTGAATACGCCCACCAGTAGTTGCGGTACAGGTATTTAACAAAATACAATTAACAAATTGTAGTACCTAATAAGTAACAAAAAGAACCTTTTTAAATTATTAGATAAAAATGTATAGTTGGTGTATGATTTTGGTATAATATGAACAAAAAATGTAAAAATGTCTGGAGCATGGTAGCTAGTGATTAAGTGATGTAGGACGTAGCAGGTACAAATTCAGCTATCATAAAACTGTTATTAAATATCATATTATATTATAATTGCACGAGTATTTTCCGAACTTAAAATCTAATAATATTAATGCCTAGTAACAGCTTTAAAGGGAGGGGGGAAACTTGCCACTGTAGGTAAGTGACTATAGTGCCTGCATATACATACGCCACTATGGGCCATCCCATATTTAAATTAAAATAAAAAATAAAAAAGAGAACAGATATTCCACGTTTACTCTTTATGTACAATATTGAGTTTAATATAATATTAGTATACTCGATATCGCTGAATTGTTTTCGCTATCTTATATTTAAAAAAATATATTTCAGCAGAGCTTTCGCTATATCAGGGGCGCCCTACCTAATCATAGTATGTTACCATTTACTTTATGCAGTTGTGAGTTAAACAGTTAATCAATTGTGTCCTATAGTATTAGTAAACAAAGTTTTTTTAATAACCACAAAATATTTGTACATCATTATTCTGCCTGGTCACCACAACCGTGGAGGAAATGGCCAGTCTTGAGCTTTTCTTGTAGGCACTGAACTCTCCGTAACACTTTGGATAAATGTATAGTTGTCGTTTCCTTAGGTCTTGGATCTTCATTTGCTTGTATATCTGCCAAAAGATTCGAAGACGAATTCGATTCTTCTTCCGTGTTCATAGAAGCTGCCTAAAATAATTAAATGAGTGAGTGTATGTGTGTATGTTGTATACACAATTTAATAGTATGTTAGTCGAAATTTGATTTTGTTTTATTTCTTTACTTCTTTGTATACATCAACAGCCTCTTCAACTTTTGATTTTAATGCGTTAAGTTGGTCTTCAGTATCAAGTAATAACGGTATGAGGTTTTCGTTTTGATCCCGAATATATTGATCGTAGAGTTTGTTGTATCTTCTAATGACATACAGTTAATATTTATGTTAATTTTTTAAAATACAAATGTTACTAATAATGTTTTATGATTTATGATGATTGAAATACAAATGCACAAACAAAATCTTGCTGAAAAGAAACATGCAATTATAGCAGATATATTTCCAAGCCTGGAAGTTATAGTGACAATTTCTAACTATAGGTGGTAGGTAGTTAAAGATGGAATGTAAAAACGACTAACTAGTAGTTTTTTATGACTGAAGGTATCTACTTAAAAAGCTTATGAAATATAGTAATTTAGTTTGACTATAATAGTTGGTTGATTAATAGGAACAGTGATTGGGGCGGAGGACGCTACTGGTTTTAGCGTGCTAACGCTACATCTACCAACCTCCCCCCCCCCAAAGTATCTGGCTATCGTTATCTATACTTTTTACTAACTTAGAAAAAAGGTACTAATAAGTTAGTTACTAAAAAAAAGTGGATAAGTAGGTATATAACCATTTTGCTTTATGTAGTAGGAATCGTGTGGGTAGTAGGTAGTAGGTGTGGACGTGTGAAATTTGAGTTCCAATATAAACCGTTGCGTATGAAAAATGATTCTGAGGGGAGATGGTCTGTCAGAGCTATATTACCGAGTAGATATTATTAAAGTATATTTATATTGCTATTATTTAGTATTTACTATAATAGTTTATTTAAATATTAGTATTATAATAATATAGGCAAAAGCTTGAAATTAGTCTTAATATTTTGAAAATGTCACAGGCTAAGCTCATATCGCGTATTATAATGATTTAATAAATAAGTAAACATTTCAAGTATCCATAGATATTTTTGAATTGCAATAAGATAACCGAAATTGTTATCCTTTATTTAAATATCCATTAGTAATTAAATAATAAAAATATTTATATCAACACTTTCTTTAACAAATTAGCAATTTTTTTAAACGGTTAATTTATGTTAAACATTTTGTTTGAGAGTTAAAAAACTTGAACTTTTTAGTTTAAGAATATTCATAGGTTGTTCTAATAGAAACCTTAAAATCGCCTTAATAAATATTCACAAATTTTTATTATGAACATTTCAAGTGAACAAATTTGATGAAATTCACTATTGAATCAAAAAATACAGATCTCAGTTATTTTTCGTACCTAATTTAAAAAATATTATTCGTAGGGTCTAACATCTAACTGCCTAGGTGACTACTTGTTGTCACTACATATAGATATATTAATATTTTCTATACATACACAATGTAATTTTTAAAATAATTAATTTAATTTAATTTTAAGCTACTAAGTTAACAACAGCAGGTTAATAGCACCTAGATAATACTATACATAAAATAATATGTTTTCGACAAACATTTTCGTTCCACAAATAAATTACAAGTAGGAAGCAATAGAAAAAAAGTATACATCGGAAACTGAGAAACAAGTGACTACCCCTAAGAGTGCTGGATAAGGCCCTATAAGGCCAGGGTACTCATTCCTATTCGAGAGCCAAAAATAAAATTTACTCGAAAAAATGTATGAAATAATCTATGATTATATCTCAATGAACTTTGAAAATGATTTCATCAGTAATAGAATTATTAATTTACATTTATTGGACAATTGCGAATGTTATCATACCTGGCGTGCAGTAACTGTGACTGCCGATCGATTCCTTCTCTCGCGTTGTCTACAATAACAGCCTCTGTAGGGTGATGTACTGATACACATAATTCATGATTGTATTATTGTGCATTATTGAATATTAATTGTTTTGATTTTTATATTAATAATAAAGAAAATGTATTATGTTGATTTAGAAACATTTGTGTTGTACGAGGGGAAGGGGCAAAGAAAACGAGTGCCTACAGGTCACTGTAATGTACACTCGACACCTATAGGCTATAAATAAGTATACAGCCGAGCCTTTTGTTTTTTTAAACTTAATATTTAGCTTAAATAAGTTCTGTCATGTGCTAGCGATGACTTTACGTTCATAAAATAGTTGCTTTTTATAACAAATCAGATGATGTTCGAGTTACGAAGCAAAGTGGCAGTACCACACCAGCGAACCAAAATTCCTAAAAAACTATTAAAAATCCTACACTATTTCAAACGAAATAATTATAATAACGTATACAATGTGGCTTATGCTGGATTGCATGAACAATCATTAAACATTTAACAAATTAATAGTGAGCTAATAATGGTCCTTTAAACATGATTTAGTGTCCCATGATTGGTCCATTAAATTAATAAATTGCTCTGCATTAGTTTAGTAGTTTTGTTCCTAAAAATGTTCCTACTACAAAATGTTAATTCCCTCTCCACTTTGTGGCTTAGCCCACATAACGTTACTGCTGTATACGCAGCAATGTATTTTAAAAGTACTTCATTACCTCAAGTATTTTCAAGAAAAATTAATATATTTAAATGCTGGGTTTTCAACATAGTTCAGACTACTTCTTAATACTATATAGTAGGCATCTATAGGTAATTAATTAATTCAAAAATATTCTTACTCAGTTAGTGTTAGAAATTCATTATTCATTGTGACTATAGTTAGTTTCAGAGCTTGCATATGCTTGGACAATAATTCATAATACTGTACGACTTTTGCTTTAGTGTAATGGTTTTGAGGAGATTCTATTGATTTTTGTTTGCGTTTCAAATGCTTCATAAAAGGAGCCATTACTTTATGGTAACTTTCCATGAACCGATTTGGACAGGAACAAGAATTTTTTTGTAGACCACACTAATTAAAAAGGATTTATCGATTATTAAATTCTTCAATTATTTATTATTTTATTAATCATATTGTAATGTGCAAAAATTGAAATACACACCATACACCCTCACTACATTGCATACAAATAAAATTACAAGTTTTTGTGGTAAAATAAATTACTTGTGAAAATAAATATAAATACAACGTTGACAATTTTATAATTATATTTTAAATTGTGAGAATAGTTAATGAACCGGTATTTTAATCAATAAGACGGTCATAATTTCTACAAAAGTGTTTAAGAAAATAAGTTGTTTTAATTAATAAAAATATGAATAATGTGAATAATATATTTTTTTTTTTGGTTAGATAAAAATAATTTAAGTAGGTGAAACTCTGAATCAATCATGCATTTATTGTGTAATTTTATTTCTTAAATTTTTAAGTTAAAACTAAATTGCATTAAATTGTCGTAAATATTTTTTCCAAATTTAAGTCAATTAATTACACGAAGCATTCAATGTCATACTATCATTATTATTGTTTAAATAATTAAATGTTTACATGTTTTGGATTATTATCTTGTAAATTATTATAGTAATATATTTGTAAGGTTGACGTTCTGTTTTGATAAAGTATATTAATATACTTAAAAAATGTTAACAACTATACCTAATCAAATTTAGTTTTAACTAATTAATTTTTTATTGTGTAAAGTATACAATTGTCCATAACAATTTGGATTTAATTTTCTTATTATAGTATCGGTACAATTTACATCAATTTATTTTTGTTGGTTAACATATTATGTTACTAGTGATTTACACATTATAAATCCGACTCTAAAATCGACTACTCGAAAATCGGTGGGATTTAAACGTGTTCCAAAATGTTTTATTTTTATTTATGAAGAGTTTATACAATTCTTTTTTCACGGCACAGAAACAAATATATTTCTAGGTACAGAAAAATACCAAACTTTTGGACTGCGGAATACCTCTCTTTGAACAGCAGCTGCGTATTTATATAAATAAAGTTACCTCAGAATGATTTGTAAAAGCATCGGTTTGTTTCACTGCCCACGGGTTTAGACCTTCGTCCTCTTGGCTTATAAATTTGTCTTCCGATATAGCTGGGCAAATTTGCACATCTGAGTATTGCTGTGATACTAAGCTCGTTCCGCTGTTTTTGTTCAATTTCGTTTCTACGATAAAGTTAGTAGATGAATTTATTGAACTGTCCAGATCATCATAACTTTGACCGGGGAATTGCTGAATTTTCATAATGATATTTTTTAATAAATAAACACAAAAAAAAAGACTAATAAAACGATTAATACCACTAAGACTGAATAAATAAAACCATAATACATGTATAATACTTCGAAATAAATAATAATCGTACACGACTACTATATTTGTGAAAAATATATTTAGTGAAAAATTTAAATTTTACTCATATTGAAAATGTATTTTGATGTAATTTTAACAATTTGGCTCAGGCATGAAAACAAAAACGAAATAAAATAATTTATCAGAACAACTTTACGAAATCCTAGGACCCCAAACAGAAGCAACCAAGTAATAACTTTTTTAAAACATTCAGAATTATATAATCGAATATAGAAATACATTTAAATAAATATAAATTATAATTAAAAAATGTAAATATACTGTCCATAGTCCATCTATAACGTTTGTTGATGAAGCTAATCCATAAAAAAACGCATGATATGGAACTTTGTTTTCTATTTAAAATTGTATTTTATCTCTCAAGCCACTCGATCCGAAACATTTGAGTAAAATAAAATATCACTTATAGTTATTAGTTATTATACAATCTTTTTTTGTATAGATTGTACATAGGTATAATTTCAAAATAATAAAAAAAAATTACATTTTTATTAAACAAATAATAGGTATTTTTTTATTAACGTTTTAATATGTAAGAAATATGAGTTAAAATTGAAAAAAAATAATGAGTGGTGTTCTTGATAAGAGTGATAACTGATGAGTCCGAAATTTGATTGTAAATAAATAATTATAATATAGTAGGTACCTACTAGTGTACTAATGTACTATAGACAATATTACATGCTTTTTTAATTAGTTAGCAAAAAATGTAGTGTCCTGTTTATTTAACTGGATACACCCACAATATATTACACCCAAAGGCTACCACAATAACCTAATGGCAATCACATGACTTTTAGTGTTTAGATATAATTCAGTTAATAAATTACTTTGAGATTATACTTTAAAACCAATATTTATTTATTATTTTAGAACATATTTCAAAATTTCACCTCATGATTTTCATTTTACTTACTTTAAACACGGGTCCTAATAGTGGGTATATAATATTATGTGCCTAATAATTAATTTACCTACCTACTTATTAGTTACCTACCCAAAAAATATTTCACTTGGCATACGTAGAAGGAAGAACTAACTGGTTTTTATCATTTTATTATTATTAGTATTTATAGTTATAACTTTAATATAATACTACCTTTATCATGGATAAAGTTGTTTGTATATTCACAGCCATATTATAACTTTTGCTAGCACTACTGGCACAAATAAACGGCATTTTTTTCATTTTGTTTTTTGCATCTTTGATAAGACACGTTTCATTAAGCACGTCAAATTTGGAGTCCTATAATAAATATTTCGTGAATAGTCTATGGCGGTACTGCAATATTATATATTTTCACAATTGATATTTATTAATAAGTACGAAATTAAATTTATTGGAACGTAAAGTCTATAACCAATATGGGCATTATGTATATATATCATAGGCTTAAGCTTCCCAAAATTCGAAGCTGTAGCATCAGACATATTATGTAGGAAATCAACTCGCGGAGAGCTCCACCCCTCCACTCTAAACATATTGACCACCGCTATCTCCCACTGTTCAGTTCGGTACACAATAGATAAAATAAAACATACGAATTATTTAAATCAATCATTAACACTTTTCAGACCCATTTATTTTTAATTATTTATTGGTAGTTGATTATTTATAACATTTTTAACATTATTGTAATTTTATTCGCTACAAATGTCAAGAAGCTTCTTTTCAGTGTATTTATTTAAAATAGTTGTATTGTTAGGGCTAATGTACAAACATCTTTTAGCACTGCTGTCATTCGACAAATGTGTCATATCTGTCATCTGTAGTCCGACTCTATGAATAACCCAAGTCACCTAAGCAAAGGGGGTATCTACCGATATTGTCTTCTGTAGTAATAAAAATAAAATCGTATTCATAAACAATCTCATAGGTATATCTACTATCTTAGAGGCCCCCTCATACGTATAATTAATTATCATGTAAGTGTATTTGGCGAATAAACGATGCGGAACCGGGTGGCAGTATTGTGCTAAACAGTTCCCACCCGTTTCCGGTTTTTCGAACGGAAAAAAAAAAGTTTATCTATCTACTATCTACTGACTACCTAGTATTTGTTACACAAGTAAACTTTATTAATTACTATAGGCGCTTATCTCAGCTTATACAGCAGCTATAGTACGTGAATGCGCCTACAGCAAACTAGAACCTTGTAAGTACGTATATTTCTAACACTTTAACAATGAATTGTTATTTGTGATTTCATTCATTACTTTTTTGTTCAACCTGAGAGCCGACTCGGATCCATAAATTCTTCGTTTTGAAGCAATTTTTTCCAGTTTACTGCAGCAGTCTTAATACGTAAAATCATAATGTATTAGAAAAAGGTACAAATATTAGATCCTAATTCTTAAAACTTAAACTTTATCGCATATTAGTTAACCTGTATAGTTGATCACGTTTTTGTTCATTTTCAACAAATGTTATGTAAATCAGGCACAAACGACTAATATTTATTAGACAAATACAAATATATAACTAGATAAGTAAAAACGAAAAACATCTATTTGCATAATAGTTATCAATAATGCTAAAATAAAATTTACAAACAAACAGTTGCTAACTAAATGTACAAACATGGATATATCATGATTATATCTACTTATAGAATATAGGTATTTTATTTTATTCATACCCATACCTACGTTATAAAAGTTCTTCGATTACCTATGTAATTTGTATTAATGAAGAAAATTGAAAAATGACATATTTTACACATTGTTATCAAGCAAGTATATTTATGTGCATTGAATAAAACAAATATACATTTATAAATTGCTTACTTACAGATTATAGAAAAATTGATTTGTATCATTCGGTTTTTACTATGTAGATACTCCTAGAAGTCAGTGTTAAATTCAACTATCTATATAATAACTATGATATTCATCTTATTAAAATTGTTGTTTTTGGCCTTTCAGATGGGTCCTAAGTTGGGACTCCTAACTCTTAATGAGGATTATAGGTATAGCACAGAATGTCACCCCCTAAACTGTTGAAGTATAAATTCTGTTAAATTGAAAAATTAATAAATAATAATCATTAAATGCATTGGCACAACTATAGGTCTAAAATATTAGGGGGGGAGGAGCTGAAGCCCCACAAATAAATTGAGTCACAAATAAATATATGAGCCATTGAGAGCTTTGACGCATTGCTCCCCATACCCCCGCCCACAACAAAATACTTACTTCAAATATAAACAAGCATTGCATATCATAAAATATGACACGGATTATAATTTACAGATTAAGATTTATAATCTATTCTATTTTATTGTTGTTCAGTATTCTAGTACAGTATCGCTGTCTAACGTCTGGCATTGGTTAAATATCTTTAATTAATCTATGTTTGTAAATCATTCTTGTGACATTGTTAAACGTAGTAAATTTTTTTACCCGACTTGGTGCATTCTAAATTTCTAAATAATACTGCAATAGTGTATGACACAACAGTATCAACAAACAACATCCGTTTTATATATTATGTCGTTATCGTCACTATCCGTTTGCATTATACTTATAAACTATAACTCAAAATCTATAATATATTATACTCATTCAAAATTTGATTTGAATATATCGAAGTACCTATTTCAAAAAAATGAACTATGCCATATGAGGCATATATTATTAAATCTGTATAGATTATCATATTGTTGAAGGCGTGTCAGGCATAATACATGTTATGTTATTATTATATTGAGAGGCCGTGTGAGACTTTTATATTTATTGTTGTACGCTATTATGCCAACCAGGCAAATGCAATATTATTATTATTATTATTATTATTCAACCAAATAAATTTATAATTTATACAGTCCACGTCCACTATATACAAAAAAAAAAAGGTTTTATTTATTCTCAGGGAAAAACGACAAGGACCGTCTAGTATAGCCGTGGGCAACTTATGCGTTTACAAAACCTAATCAAACCCCACTAAACCTAACCAAATCGAATTAAACAGCGCGAGGCTAGGTTCGCGACTAGTGGTCGGTAACTATACCGAGGAACTGCGACTTGGAAACGCATGTGATGAAAAGTACGGCGCCGCCCCAAGCTGTACAAGTATCACAATTTCCACGGCACGTCTATGATACTCCATGATATATATTGATATCAATCCGAGTTACGTTTCACGGAAAGTCGGCACAGCAGGCTTGAGTTTCTATGTCTTGAGCATACATTTGAAATGATCATAGATTGACAGTAACTGTATAAAATTACATTGTGATGAGAATGAAGAAGTTTACTGCTATAACAATTAAATAATTAATGGAGATTAAAAATTAAAGAAAATTAGTTTATCTTAAAAATCTTATTATGTAGGTATGGAGTACATATGGTTATTGGTTAAATTATACTGGTACCCCTTATTATCCTTCATTACTAATTTTTTGAAAATTATTATGTTGTGAGCAACGCGTATATCTAAGATTCCCTACCCTGTCGATTACCATCGGAAATGGATTTGCCCTAGGACCGAGGGTGAATTATTATGTCTTTAGGAATGCGGTATGGGGAGGTGCTCGAGGCGGCGAAAGAGTGACCTCGACAGCGATCCTGTTGGCCGATGTTCAGCAGGATTGTTGTCACGGACGCCTAGCCGTCGTCATACTATCATACAAGGGCAGCGGCAGGAGCGTTAGTACGAGTAACAACATTGCTACATTTCAACGACTGATAATTAGTGCTGATTTCAGGTGTTATTGCGAGGACGGATTGGATTATTCAAACAAGCCCGAGAAAACAACTTTTTAGCTGCTCACTAGCGGTCATGGATTTGTTGGGGCGGAGAGGGGGCAAGTGTACCATACTGAAGGTGGTAAATATTTATTGGCATTTTATGGTGTAGGTAATTATTGATCCTACAAAAATGATTAGGTATACAACAAAATATTACTATTTACTTATATACACACATAGAAATATTAGAATTAAATTTAGTTTCGATCAATTGTCAAATTAAATGTAATTTGTATACTAAATAACAACATTGGGGTGTTGTAATAAATGTTGAAGTCCTACACTAAGTAACTATAGATCAAATAGATTCACAACCTATACCTAATTGTGTATAAATAACATTAAAAAAAAATCCTATGCTTCGTATGCTATGACTATTTTTTCAAATGTATCGAGTATCTAAGTATTTAAATTATAAGCATCGAGTATCCAGTATTTAAATACCTAAAATGTAAGTATCGAGTATCTAGTACCTCGATACTCCAAATCCAACTATCTAGTATCGTGATACTGATTTTTGAGTGTCTTGCCTATCCCTGTTGATGCCTTCGTTAACTTATAAAAATGCCCTAAAAATGCATTTGTGACACAAAAACGTAAGAAATTGTATATTATGTTAATGACATATACGTAAAACACTCATACAACTATTAAAGTTATTAAAATTAATTATCAATTTCAAAAGTAAAAATTACAATTTATAAACATAAATGATTTCGATTTAAATTTGAATTGTAAAACTGATTTTAATCTGGAAAACAATTTTGTTTATAGTATTTTTCGTAATAGTATGTAAAATTAAATCAGTCGATCAAGATTCAAGTGGAAAATATAAAAATAAAATAACGACAAATAATTAACACGTCATTTTTCTCACAGTTATTAGAAAAAGTTAAAAATGACCTGAAACACATTTTAAACTATGACGAGGTTTTTAAAAGACCACGCCACAACGGCCGGTCTCTGAATTTTCGGGAGATCGTATTTTGCGCCAATTTTATTACCTATAATTTGCGCCATCAAAAGGTACATTTAAGGACGTATGTAATTTGCGCCAAAATATAAAAATATAATATGTATTTTGCGCCACATATACAAATTAATTTTGGTAATTTGCGCCACGACAGAAAACGAAATGGAATATGTAATTTGCGCCACACATTCAACTTCAATATTGTTGTCACTAGATCTCACTAGTCACTACTAATGCTTGCGAATCATATCATTCACGTTTCAATTCCGAGTTCTATCACCCACATCCTACTATTTACCACTTTTTGGACGTACAGAAAGGATTTCAAACCAAAACTTTGATTACAATTAAAAGTATACATCTTAAAAAACGAAATTCTACTAAAAATAAAATTCGTTTGGAAACTTTTCAACAAATATATGAAGACTTAAGACAAAATAAAATTGACAGAAAATGCTTAGTTTCTTCATTAAGCTATAAATATAAAAAAAAACGTGAGTAAGCTAGGTATTATAAGTAACTAGGTATTTTAATTCAAAAGATTAAATGTTATATTACGAAAATTGTACATACTAAACGAAAATTTATATTTATACATTATAATATTTTTACATTTATTTATAATTATAATATGACTGATTTTTATATGTTTTATTACTAAACGAAAATTTACTTATTTAATATGCATGGAGTTCGTTTTACTTGTATACATTTATTTATAATTATAATATGACTGATTTTTATATGTTTTAAATAGAAAATTTACTTATTTAATATACATGGAGTTCGTTTTACTTGTGGCGCTAATTACAATTTCAATAAGGTGAACTATGGCGCAAATTACAATTTTTGTAGGTAAACGATGACGCAGATTACATATTGCCTTTTCATTTAGTTTTATTTGGCGCAAATTACAAACATAAAAAGTGGCGCAAATTACCAAAATACAATTTTAGATGTGGCGCAAATTACATATATTTTTTTTTTTTTGGTTGTTTTTGGCGCAAATTACATACGCCCGAATTTTCAATGGTTGGGTGTTATGGGTTGTTGAGGCACATTTAATAACTAATATATAAGTATCTGTAACACGTCAATTCAATTGCACTTCAACATAATGTATAATAATTATTATTCAGGGAAATTAAAACAGTCAAGCATATCCAACAGTTTATCATGCTTGCAAATTGTTGAAATAACATGAAACACATTTTTATTCAAATTTTCTTTTATAAAATTGAAGTCCTTTATATTATCACAAATAATAATCTTTTTGAACACCGACATTTTGCTTTTCAAATTATTTTCGTTAATGTTTAATATATCCTGAAAATAAATTTTACTATGAAATGTTTTACATTGTAAATACTAAATGTTTTGTATCTTGTATGATACCTAACCTACCTTATAATGTTCAACCAAGAATGAGCTTCCTTCATAATCAAATCGCATTAGTCTACATCAGCAGAAGTAGCAACGCGTAAATTTTCTTCGGAAAATCGTATTTTCGTGCTACAAATAATTGTAATACGAGTAACCTGGGTCTAACGTCATGCTGGTGAGTGGAAATGTATCCATGTTTTTCATGTATTTACGATTTACCACATTTATCATTGTCATATAAATTATAAGATAATTATATAAACTTTAATTAAAAATTAAATAATAAACATTTTTCCCCCAAAAAAAATAAGAATTATTGTTGAACATTAAAAAACTTATTAATATTTTAGGAAATAATTGAATACATTTTTTTTTGGGGAGGGGGGAGGGCTATTACAGGGTTTTTTTTTGGTAAACTTGACAATACATCGAAACTTTATCATCAAAAATAATAAATTACTAAAAACCTTATGGTTACCATTATAACGTCGTGCAAATACCTATACATTATGGTTATAAAATTGAGCTCATGTACACAGGTACACGTAGATTGATAAATATTTTAAAACGAATTTATTTTCATGTATTAATTTATATTATTATTTTAGATTTACTGGTACCTATACTATATTCAGACTGATGATTTTTACAAAGAGTTGGAGAATAGTTCCAACTTTCTTGACGAGATGAAGGAGCCATCGTGGAATTTTATTGAGAAACCGAATTAATTTAAATTTACAAAATACATTTTTTTTACGGTTATTGTCGTTTATTTCCATAGCTAATTAGATGTATAAAAGATAGTACAAAAAAACTCATTGTTCAAAAATAAATATGATATTTATTTTTAAAAAAACATTTTAAAATTACAAGAGTTATTTATAAACATTTTAAATGTTTAAAAGTGTCTGGTGGGGAATATAATACATGAATACCTCTACTCTATATAAAGTGTTTTTTTTTTTTTGTTCACCTTTGTTAAAACTATGTAAGTGCAATTGAGTTTTAATAAATTCAATATTCTTCCGACTTCTTCTTATACTTGATATCTCTATAGTTAGTTGATGCCAATTACGTTCCATCCATTTCCTACGAAGGTAATTTTATTATGAGTTATAATAAATAAAAACAAATTGTTTTTAATACTACGCTTGTTTTTATTTTACACAAATTTCATAACCATACAAATTACAAATATTAAAATAGTACTGAAAAAAGCATTTTAGAAATTACGTTATTATTAGATTTTGCGTCATCTTGGGTTAACAAAAAGGTTACAAACTGATTGCGGTCACTCAATTGTTGGTTTATGTATTCAGGAGCCATGGTCGTTGATTACACAGATAATTATATTATAATAGCTATTATTAAAATATTTAAGAACAGAAAAATGTCGATAAATACATTTTTGTAAATAAAATAGCATATATTTTAATTAGATAATAATATAGTATATCTTTGAACATTTTAATGTTACACAGATCATGTTGATGTCAACAATCCTGACTCCCGGGTATAAAGACCAACAATTGAGTGACCGGAATCAATTTATAAGCCCTCTTGATGAATATCTGCAATCAGTAACTATAATATAATTTTGATTTTTATTACTACTAGTAAACACTACAGAATAACTATAATAGACTATAATAGGGTCACACATGTTTCATTATAAACTACCAAGATCCAATTATTTTATAATATATTGATAAGAACATTTGGAAAAATCTTTAATGTAACTTTAACTCAATAAGAACATGAATATAGATTTACCTGCTGTCATTGAATTCTTTCAACAACTTGATCTTTTATTTCAAATCCCTGCATGAAAATTTTTATAGCCTTATTTACATCTTCATCCGTTGTGAGGAAACTGAAACTTATTTGGCCAGACCCTGGTGTTAACACTGTGGTGTGTATTATTTTTGATAGCAGGCCGTAGGCGATGGAAATTCGTGAACAGAATTCCTCTTTTAACATTTTATTCTGTTCTAGCCGGTCTAGTAAATTTTTAACATCATAGAATTCGCATTTATCTAAGATACATTGCCATCTCATCTCTCTTCTTAATCGTCTTCTTTCAAATATATCGTTTACCTCCTTGGGTACATCAATTCTTATCTTACGACTATTATGTTTCTCTTCAAAATCTTCTATAGCAGAACGGGCTGTTACAAACCATTTTAATGCATTACTTGATTCCTGAAAATTTCAACATTGGATTTAGAGTTTTTTTTTAATACGTTCGCCATTTTAGGTACACAGACTTATCAAGTGATTACAATATGTATGCAACGTTTTAAGATAGATAATTTAATATTCAATTCTGTTCATCATGACTTTATGCCACATCAACAAGACAACAATTAAATTAAATAACTAAATTTTCCTACCTAGTAAGTACAGTTGTACCTACCGTTTCGCTATTTCTTTTACACACAATCACGCACATTAACGATCATTTACTTCACGCCCTTTCTAAGGTCCTATTAAAATACATTTTAAGATGTTTGAGTGTATAAAAAAGTTTACTTTGCATTAGTTGGAGCACTTTTTCAATTTTAGCTAAGCTTTGATGGAAATAAACATTTTTAATTTTATCAATTTTTCAATTTTTATAATTGTATATATATATTAAAAACTATAAAAAATAGAGAATAAAAAAGTACCTAAATTTGTGTTAGTCGCTAAGATCGTTGTGATGAAAAATTAATAGTGTTTGCGAGAGCCTTAATTGTTTTTAGTATTATTTTCTTGTAAAGCATTGCCCATTATATACGTCGTGAGTAAGCAGCTAGTCAGTTTTGAGTTCCACAAAGTCGTGTATTATCAAATTATATTTTGTTAATTTATTTATATTATTACTTCAGGGGGCTATTACTTGATTATTATTAAATTATTTTTACCAGTTGAAACTAAAAGGGTCCTAATTACTATAAGATTTGTTGATCCAGAACTTAAAAGGGCAATTACCTATGTTGTTTTAACTATATTAAATATTTATTTATTTATTTATTACTTGATCAGCAATACATTTATATTACTATTTGAGTTACTTTACTACTATTTATATCATACTTACCTTGTAACTATTTTTTAGTACACTTTATTATACACTTATACCTACTCACTTATTATTCTTATTACCTTTGTACACACACCAAATACTAAATAGTTCATCCTTATTTGCCCGGCAATATCGTTTAATACCGATTGAGATATTATAACACTACTTGCCATATTATTATACACATGCAATACGGGTAAGTCAGTAGTCAGTACTCAGTGAGTATAGTGGCACGACGACTATATTACTTATGATTAAAATACTGGTATAATAATTAATAAAATGGTAGGCATATTTTCCCAATATCCTTCGTAGATCAATCAAGAATGATGGAAATTCACAATTCACTATATTATTCTCGGAAATTAAATGTGTATATGTACAAATAATATTATGCTCTCTAAATATAAAAAAAATATATAAGTACCTACTGTGAGAAAGAAAACAAAAGCGATACTATAAAGAAAGGTATATATTAATTTCTGAGAAAATTGTTCTTATTTACCATTTTTGTTTCGGCCTTCACTGCTCTCTCTACAATTTCATTGTACGCTGACAATGGAACCTGAAAATAAGGGATACATTAGATTCTTGGCAAAACGTTTACTACATGCTGAAACGTAGTCATCATAGAAGACGTAAGGCTGATACACATTTTAAATTCATGAAATAAATATATGTTTTCAACTTTTAATATAATCTGCAAATATTATACCGTTAATTCTTCTTGTTTTGGCATTTTTTGTTCGATTACTGATGGTGTACCTACAACTTCAACCGTCTAGGCCTAAAGGAAGAATGAAAGGAAATCCAGATTAATATCTGGATATTTAACACAACCAAGACGTTGAGAATATTCAGCAACACTCACCACCAGCAACGGTTGTAGATGATGATTATTTAGATTAATTTCCGAATTATGAAAGTAAAAATTCAATATTGACTAGTTTTTAGTTATGGTGTGTTGCTTGGTGAATTAAAACAAACAGTGTAAGAAATCAAAAAATACACTTTAGGTTCTATCTATTACAGTTTGTAAGAGTTTGGGTTTTTGAGGCCCAAAAACTACCCACGAATCAAGGGGGACACTTGATTTATGACCTATAAGCCGAACCACGTGATGACATGACCCTAAGGTCAAGTCGGTGGAACTTATAATCTTTATACACATAGTTACTAACGAAAGTAAGAGATTTAAATACAAAAGAGGTAAATGAATATATTTCGAGTAAAAAGAATAATAATTTTAATGTAATCGTGAAATTATATTTAACACGGTGCAGATTTGAAAATAATAATACATTTTAGAGTTAGAGTTACATTTTAACTTAATGATATTTTACTTTGGCACATGGCGGGTGCACAAATATATAATATTTGTATAAGTACCAGTCAAGTACAAAAAAGAGAACAATATTTTATTTAGCACATGGCAAATGCATAAAAAAAAGGTTAATAATTAAATTTGGCACATGGCAAGTGCATGGGTGCATAATATTTATACGAATACAGGAAAAAACCAAAAATAAAAGATTAATATTTTTACTGTCACCGCAAGGAGGATAATAATAATTTAAATAAAAGAGCTTCAAGGATAGGTATGGACTTAGGTGATTCTTCCACACGACGGGATTATACGTTGCGCGCACTTGGCTATACAGGATCCATGGACATATAACTCATGTCGTGACCACAGGGTTAAGTATGCAAAAAAGCATAAATAATAATAATACATTTTTGCCCGCACGTATGGGAGAGGTTTTGTCACATGCCGTCATTATGTATATATTTTGCTTTAAGAAAAAACGAACCGGGGAAAAAGGGAAAGAAAAAGAAATTGTGATCATTGTAGTTACAAGACAGGGGGGGAAGGGAATAATACTTTACGAAAAATACGACGACGATGATGATGATGATGAAGATGTCAATTGGCCACTTTACCCGCCACTAGCCCAAACGGCCGTGCTTAGCCCATTATGTCGTCTGTGATGCTCGTTGACGAAAATAATAAACAATATGTTCACTGTCAAAAGAAAAAGTGTTGGAGACTTCCACGAGTTTTTTTTTGGAGATCGAGGTGTCCGGGTGTCGTGATTGATGAAACGTGTGGTCCAGCCCGTGGTTGTGGAAAAGGTCACTAGAGAGCCGTTTCTCATTTCGGCCGTTAGTACCTCCGTCGAAGAAATTGTCGAGAGAGAGTTTAACAGTGTCATAGCGTGATGAACTTTTGTACATTAATTATATTTAGGGGACAGGTTGCCCTGTCGGCACGCCGGCGGCCGAAACAGCGGCGCACAACCCCGAAGACGGGCAAGCAGCTGCGACATCGATGCGATGGACACTGCTAGTACGGGGGGTCGGGGACAGATATTGCATAAAAATGTCGTTTTTCATAATAATACTGAATTCACACTTGTATGATAACATAAATTAATTATATATTGGATTTAGCAAGTTTGATGGTACTTATTATTTTAATAAAGTAGCCGGAAAATTCCGGGACGTTACAAATTATAATAATATTGAATATTGATAGGGATTCACGAAATAAAAAAAGTATAGAAAAAAAAGAACTTTCGTGGTAATAAATCCATTAAGTTAATCATTGTCTGCGAAGGTGATTCAGTGATTGGCTACTAATCTAATGAAGGCTTTATATAGAGGATGTCGGAGAATTTTTTTCTCTCTGACCCACGCGTAACATAACAAATTGTACGCTCGCAATAATGATTATAATAATTTAGGTATTTAGGGGGGAGCAATGGGGACATTTACCCCGGGCGGCCAAATATTGACCTATTTAGGGGGCGGTCGGACTACCCGTGGTAACTCGGTGTAGTATTGATCAATAAATATATTTTTTTTTTTTTGAAAGAATTTGTACTATGACTCAACTCTTGTGAACTTAACAGTGCAACGATAACGGATAAATGCTAGCGCCTAGCATAGCATATAATTAATATTATTTTAACATAACCACTGTTGTAGATAGACAACCATGACTTAACCATAAAGAATTATAACTAAAAACGTGTTAAGAAAAATCAAAAAAGTGGATCTATTTTTTGGTTGGGAGGGGGGGGGCGTAAAATTATGGTTGACTCGGGGCCCAAAAATTGTAAATGCGGTCCAGATTATAATCATAATAATTTCTACAACTTGAGTGATATGACCGCTTATATATTGAATGGTAAGATTATTGTCTAAAGTATCTCATAGGCTTTTTATTATAATTTAATTTTAAAACGAGTTATGAGCACTTTAAAATTGTTAATTATTTGCACATCTTATGTTATTTTACAAACGGTAATCATTAAATTATTATATTGTCATACTGGCAAATCGACAGTGTCTTATATTATCATCATACTTATAAGTTATAACTTATGATCATCATTGTTTGGACCCAGTTCCGACTATGTGGATAACATCGCATGGTGCAGACTGCAGATACATCTGCCCGGACCGGAACAAGTACTCCGGGAAGTAGTTAGCCAACAACTAGGTCAGACGTATTACACATGTTTTGTTTTTTAAATTATTTTGCAACGCTTGTTGTTGCCAACATGGTATATAAATCATAAATGTATTATCGCTCTCACTTTCGAGATTGTTTATTATTTATTATGATGACAGATTTGTTTGTAATTTGCGTTAGGACTATAACCTAGTGTATAAGGTACTCGCATGTACTGATGTACGTTCTTATAAGTTCTGTATGCACAATAAATTGTATGCAGTCCACTACTAGGATACTTGTTTCTTTATATATTAAATAATTAATAAGAAAAAAAATCCAACCACAAATGTCGAGTCACAACCACGTCAAGGTTAACCGGATTTCACGACAATCATAGTATCATTGATAATATATATTATATATAATCAATGATAATATACACAAATCGTGAATATACTTCAAATATAGTAATTTTTCTTTACAATTTGTAAAATATTAAACATAATTTATTAAGTGACTATTCGCGACTATGCACAGTGCAATACAAATTATATAATTTATGAAAGGATCGCGAAGATTTACATAATATGCTAAATATACTAATATTTTTGCGATAAGCGCACCAAATAATACACAGAATAAAGGCTATTAGTGCCTCTAAATGCAATAATATTTTACATGGCAATTAGCGTCTTAAACTACTTTAATACAAAATTATGTTTAACCACGTCAATTGGCGCTCGTAATAAAAGCCATTTGTTTTTCGTTGACGTTGTTGAATGGACTGACTATAGCTTGGCCGTGTTAATTAAATATTTGCCATGCATGGCGATTATCGATAAAGCCCAGTGCCATCTACGTACATATTAATACTATAATGTAGTTCACATACGACACAAATACGACAAAGATACCACAAGGACAAAAATTGTGTTGTGTGTTGGCTGTTAGGTCGCGGAGAGGTACGCGGGGAAATGGCATTATTGTTATTTTATTATTATGCGATCGGGCGGCTACAACAATGAAGATCTTCAATTTAAGCGCCACTGAGTACCAGGGTCTTATGAACACATTGCGATGGCAAGCCACACACTTTGCGTGGCAAGGCTATACGGCATACGTATAGGTAGTAGGCACCCACTTATTAGGATCGTAAGATATACATAATATAAGGTAATCATATTATTTTATTACCTACACTATTATTTTACTCATTTTGTCCTATCGGTGTGAAAAAATGCGTTTATGGAATACATACTTCTTTGGTGGAATCCATTGATTTAAATCTAATGAAGTAGATATCTTTAATCTAGTTGATCATCAATCAAAGGTGTCGGAAAATTGTCTTTCACTGTATAAATTCTTAACCCTCTGTAATCTACCCATAATTTAAAACTTTTTTTCTTTTTTTTTCACTAGCACAATCGGGGTACTATAGCGACTGTTACTAGATCAAATTATAAAACAGACCAACAGCCAAATATTAGGTACACAATCTACGACTATCTTCTCGACCGGAAAAAAAATTGGTTGCTCATGTTTTAGTATTATTTTTTTTTCGAATTAAACTATAATCATTTTATGAGCTTATGTTTATTTTGGCTATATATTTAACATTATACTTTATACATATAAAATATTAATAAATTTATAACTAAAATCAGTAAAATCACAGTGTAAATCAAGATTTATATTTTAAAAATAATTTTGTGATATTGCTATAATTGGTATTCAATATTTTTTACATTTTATTGTACTACTGATTTCGATATTATGAAATGTTATCCTGAATTATTTTATATTTGTATGACTAATTAACTAACAATAATAAGATAACTTGATTTCATCATTTTTAAGAAGTGTAGTAGTTAGGGGAGGCTTTAGAGCTTAAGACCCCCCCCCCCCGCCCAAAAAACCCAACATACCCGTTAGTATCACAGCCCTAACAATAAAATATTGAAGCTTAATTCCATTAGAAAAAAACCTTGCTACGCGGTACTGATGTTACTTCATGACATTACTTTTAAAAAGTAATTTTGTTACAATTGTGTTAATATATTTAAAATATAATGACATTAGGTACTACAACATTACTGCAAAAGTAATATTTTGTTATTTGCGTTAAGGATGCTGGATCAGGAACGACAATAATCACGTAAGACATGCCAAAAGCCATAGGCGGATAGGTACTTTTTTATTGGGATATATTATCCCTTTTATTAGGGCCACATATACCTAGGCCCTATATATTGTATTTAAAATAAATTTAACTTCTTTTGAGTTTTATCGTAGACACATTGACTTAACAAATCTGGATCCGTTATTTTTCTTTTTGAAGCTCTACTTGCGAAATTTCGTTTAGACATAAATACATTATTAATAATTATCATATATATATTATTTAATAAATTAAAACACAATTAGCAAAAAGCCACTGTCACAATAGCCAATAGGAAAAGTAAAATAAAAATAATAACACCTGATAAGATTTTAAATAATTACATAGGGTACCTATAGAGTAAGAATAGGTAAATGATATTGTTATACTTGCTTACTTAGTTTATATACTGTTTATTAGTGTTGATGCAAGAGAAAATTATATGCTAGAAATTCACATTAATACACATTATTTAAAAATAGAACAGATCGAATTTATTATGATACAAAGACATGTGTATAAACGTAGATAGTACTTAATACGTCATACTTAACTCTCACCAATCGAAAAATGAATTATTATTATTATTATTATTATGGTTGTTTATTTTTGTTATTCAAACATCGATTATATTTATTTATGTTTACATATTATTTATTTTTAGCACAATAGTACATACAACAAAATACAAATGTATAAATACGGGTATCGACGAGTTTATACTGAGGCCCCTATTGGCCCTAATGGAGAATTAAAATATTACAAATACGCATTAATACTGTACAGCCACCAGGGCACCAGCCAGTATTATAAAAACTTACTTTTATATTATTAATTTTTTATTTTTTAGGATTGGGGCCTCTGAGTATAATATTAATGGGGGCCTACCGGGAAAATCCCGATTTCTCGATGGGTTATTCAACTCAAGGTTAGGTTCGCCGTGGGAATTTATCATTATTACTAAACTTAATGACTAACTTGAATACATAAAATACGAAAATTCTCATTTCTTAAATTGTCGATATTTTATGGAAAAATTTTGAATATGTAGAATCCTCTCGACATTCCCTAACCAACACAATGTCTAATTAATATGCATTTTCAAAATTAAAATCCATAGTATCCAGCTTCTTCAATTTTGTCTTTGAATAGCATGGAGTATATTTGATAAAATGTGTATCTTTTACATGATCCTGCGAGTGCGGAAATTTATATGCGGGCTGTGCGCCATCGGTGTTCGGACGCCCGGTACTCGATAACGAATTTTTTACTAGTTGTACACACTGCAACATTCATTTAATTTTCACACAGTATCACAGGCCACAGCTTAAATATTAAAATATAATCGCTATATGAAATGACTATATATTAGTAATATTACTCCTTAAAACTCGCCAAACTTCAACCCCCTTCTGTGTATCAAAGCCAGTTTTTCATAGGCATTTTCCGCAATTCCATAAAATTTGAAAATTATTTTTAAAATTTTAATTACTACCTTAATTATTACACTCTACTTATCTATTACTCGATACTTATTTGGAGGTAAAGGGGTTTGATAGGTGTATTATATATTTATATTCATACAAATGACATCACAGGAAAAACTCTTAAGTATGAGACCTCGTACCTCATACCTCGTTGATATTTGATCATTTTTTCTTTTATCTGAAAGATGAGAACTTTTTGCAAGTTGGATTAAGGTCCAAATTTTCATTTCACTTAAAAGGGTGCTTGAAAAATAACAAATATTGTGCATTATTAAAATACATATGTATTTTAGTTCCTATAATTATAATTTTTTAAATCGAGCTTTGATCTAAACTGAAGAATGTTCTCTTATTTTAAATAAAAAATAAATTAACGGAAGCTGACTATTCTACAAGGCGTGTAAGTTGTACCTAAAGAGATGTTTTTGTTATAAATACACGACGACACCCTTAAGTTACTTCCCAACACTGTCTGAGATATAAATTAGGTCCTAAATTTAGGATTACCGTGTATGTTTATTAACATAATTATTTCAGTTGTTAAATATTTATAATATTGATAAAGTGATAACTAATTTTGATTAGATATAGAAATGGTGCATGTACTCATGAGTAGAAGTGTTCAGTTCTCTACTTAAAAGCTCCTCATTTTTGCCAAATGCTTATAACTATGTTATATACTTATAAACAATGATCTTTAATAGGTATTCACTTTACGCATGTAGACTAAGTTCTTTATAAATTAAGTTAATAAGATCTTGGTTTGAGCTAAAAAATTTTAACCAAATAATTAATATAGTTACATTTAATACATTGATATGTATATTTTAAGGCCCACACCATGCAGTAGAACATATGTACAAAAATATTGAGCTAAAGCTAAACAAATTATTTTTATTGTATTTGTAGGGTATCTAATAGTATATGACAAAAAATTTTAAACTTAAAATATAATTTTCTTACTAAGTTAATTACATAATATGTAATATTATGATCCTCAAATTTAAATTTATTGTAAAATATCATACCAGGATATTTTACATTATCCAATTTGCTCAAACTCAAAGGTATACAGTTATATGTATGTTTTAAACACATTTGTAATATAAATGTATGGCCACATATACTCGATGCACATTAATATCATGACCAGTCGCTACTGGTAGAGATAGATATTTCGTATTTTATTAATGTTCAATATTATAATTTACCTAGTAATATTTATTTAAATTAAGTTGTAAATTATTGTTATTGCACAAACTTTTAAATTTATCCAAGAATATATTGGCAATTTTAAACAAATCATTATAATTTTCATGTTTAAATAAAATTACTCTATCATAATAGCATAACAATATAGTTTTGCATTAAAGTTTAAAAGGCAATTCATATATATAATAAATAATATAGGATAGTATAAGTTAATTCAATTTTAATATTTTTAGTAAATGATCTAAAATGCAATATTTACTTAAGCATTGTGTTTGTTTCAAATAACAAAAATAATAGTACATATAATACATTTTTAGTTAAGAATACTCTGAAAATTCCATTTGTTATACCTTAGGTATCTATAGGTGGACATTTCTTTAGCGTCAAGATAACTGATCAAGTAATAAGTGATAAACGCTCATTAATAAGCAAACAATTTTCTTAAATTGAATCAGTTGATTATATATTTTAATACTTATAAATTTATAAAAAATAAATGGTACCTACAAGTTTTATAAAATGTATAAATCAAAGCATAATACAAAAATATATTAAAAATAATGTATAATACTAGCAAAATATGATCACCATTACACAGATACAGTTGTAATTATTAACTTTTTTCAAAAACATTTTAATTACTACCTAGTGACATTTTATTCAACCAAAATAAAATTGTTTAAGACAGAATTTAAGCATCAACATTATTCCAAGATAAATATATAATTTATAGTATAAATAAAACATACTTGGGTTTCTATATTTTACACTAAATAATATTTATTAGAATAAACTAGATTAAATTAAGTTGTAATTACATAATAATTCTAAGAATACAGGAAAATGTGGTCTATGAAATACAGAGTAATATCAAAAATTATATTAAGAGTTCCTGAAAGAGTGGTATACTAAATTATATAATAAATAGTAGTAGGAAAAACTTAATATTGTTATGACATTTCTCCTGTTTGCATCAAGGCATTATTATATTGTTTTGAAATAATTTTTTCATTTTCTTTCAATCATTCGTTTGTGATTCCAGTTTTAACATTGCTGTTCTCAACTTTTGAAGAAGATTAACATCTGGACCATTTCTAATTTTTTCGGTTTTGGATTCAGGTGAGTTTGGTTTGTTCTCATTGTGTTCAAAATGTTGATTGCTATACAATCTTAATAAAGATCCAAAGTAATGAACATGAGGGTGCAATATCTAGAATCACACAAAAATTAATAGGAGAAAACAGAAGAATAGTTTAGTATTTATTGTTATATGTTAACCTTTAATAGAGCTTGAGCCCCTTTTTGGCGACCATCACGTTTATTTTTACAAATAACTGTTGCAGAATATTTATCTACAGTCATTGTGCAGCGATAAAAATTTTCTGTATCAGACCCACTTTGCATCTGTTCCACTTCACTCAATAGATTTGCACCTTCGCCAAAATTTCTATAAAAAAAACTTGCCTTTGAAAATATTAAACAAATACCTAACCGATTGTTATTATGAGTATTTCAAGTTAAGATAAGTGATTGAGTGGGCTAAATATCTAATAGAGCAGAATCAGATTTTAAAAAGTCAAGGCACAATTAATATGAACCAATGTAGAAAAAATAAGTAAAATTAGTCATGAAACGATGATGGTGGTATAGGTTAGTATTTATAACCTGAATTCATAAAAAAAAAAAAACTTAAAAGTATCTTCACTGCATGCAGATATTTTGGGCATGTATATACCTTTAGGCTACTGACTAATTTACCATGAGAATAAGTTAATAATATAATTATGAGAAATTATGATCTAATTACAAATACCAATATTTTCTACCTACCGACATCGTCAAGCAACGATCAACCAATATTGGTTTTATTTATATAATTTATTAAGTACTAGATACTTTTTTGACATGTGTAAAAAATGAACAATTGTTATGGGTGTTGAAGTTGGAACTTTGACAAAATTAGTTATCAATTTATTATTACAATAAAATACAGTTATGGTAATCAATATAGACTGGTAGATCGTTTCCGCTAAGAATAGTTTTCCATAAACAATGATTTATCATTGAATTAAAATTGAACACAATAAACATTACAGAGACCTAATCAATGGCAAGTAATAAGCATAAGAATGTAGAATTTTAGTTTAATCTAACTTGAGTCTTCTAGTTGTTTTTGTAATTGTATTGTAAAAGATTTGAAGTAAGTACAATTTAATTTCTCCATTTTTAGTTATTTTAACAATTAATGTATTGATAAAATAATTCCATAGAAACAGAAGAAAATAACAATATTTGTTTTTACTTTAATCTTTTGTTAAATTGCCAAATATTATAAACGCTATATTTTTAATAGATATTAAATACTAATTATAATTATTATGCTGTAAATAAGTACCAACCTATAGTATATTATTAAATTGGAAAAAGAATATAGTCACACAAATTTAGTACACCGATAAGATAATAGAATAACATCACGCGACCGCTGCCGTTCCAATGTAATTGGTAAAGTGGAAGTGAGGCACTGGCCGGGTGATGAGTAGAGCTGAGTTCATTTCCCTCTGGTAACACTCTTTGTGTAGCATAAACTTATAGAATGGCCCCATACATAAGACATATACATGTAGAAATAATATGTTTTTATTGTGAATTATTGTGATTTGTGGAACGCTTACTTTCAATAATTAAAAAAAAAATTAAAGCTTAAAATACCTACAACTATATTTTTTTCCACAAGACAAACATTCTGTTTAATGCACATTGAATGATAGCGGGAAGTTCAAATCCTCTCCACTTAACTACCAGTAAATGGAACTGTATGTGGCATACACACCCGAGTTTTAGTCAGTGTCCGATACATTACTCTAGTGGAAACGAATATACATTTTGCAGAATAAACAAAATAAAAAAAGTGGGCAAGTAACCGCTTTAATGTGCAGAAGATTTGAGTAAACAGTATACCTCCATAGAGTAACTGTTATGGGCATATTATATTTGAATTTGATGATAAATCATTGCATATAAAAAACCATTCTGAGCAGACAATCAATCTGTATTACTAAGTATAATTTATCATAATATATATTTTATACCGCTATTATATTAATTTATTTTATACTATTAGTAATCTATGTAAATAAAAATCCATTACCGCATGTATGGAAGATCATTACTTGAGAACGTCTCTAGTGATTTGAGTTGATTTTTTCTGTTATTTTTGTAATTTTCAGGATAAGTTTTGTATGAAGCACATTTTTTTAAGTCTGATTACAAAACTTAAAATGGGAGTTGCTAAAGTTAAAAGACTTAAAAACTACTGAACCGTTTTCAATAAAAATTAGACTCCTTGAAACTTATTTTTTCAAACTATTAATTTAACTAAAGGGTAGCTTACACATATTTTTTGTCACTGTAATGTCTGGAGGGACATCTAGTCTATATTATTATGTATAATTGTGAAATTAGTTTTTTAGTAACGACTTATCTCAGAAAAAACTGAATGAATTCAAACGGGGTTTTTTCAATTTAAAGAGTATAATATACTCTTTCTCCATAATAATATTATGGAGTAAATTTTAGGCATACTTTTATGGACTCAACTCCTGTCCACAATTGAAAGATAAAATAGGAATACACCAGTTTTAAAAAATTAAATATAACATCATACCTTTTCACACAAAGCTGTAACATTTCATATGGTGTGGATTCGGTAGATTCAGCACACATTTGTGGTATAATAGGATCTTTTACTTTTAATTTGTCAAAGATCTGAAGCATACATGCAAGTAAGAATAAATTGAATAATTGTACCAACAGAAATGGTACTTACTAAAAATACTTACTTTGTATTGTTCAAGATAATTATTCTCTTGAATTTCATTCTTGGTTTGACTTAACTTATCAATCTGAAATTGTTTGACGGAAGGTAATAATATTTGAAGAGTAGCTCTCGCAGAATCGATTTTAGCTTGTTTTTTGGTTGAGCCCGTACCCATACCATATTGTATTCCATCTAAGACTACGGTGCATAAATATGGATATTTAGATTGTTCTAAAAAAAATAATTGTATATTATTAATTCTGTACATGTTAATCATTTTGTACTTCATACTAACCAATTTCTTTAACCACAAATGAATGACTTGAAGTTTTCATTACACGTTGAATGTATTCATACAATATACCAATGTAACTTTTACTTTTTAAATTAATTATATATTGCAGATTTTCAGGATCAGTGAATGTAAGTATATTACTACTCCTTGTGACTAAAATTTTAAATATATGAAATTAGCATAGATGGAAAATTGATATATCAATACAAATGAGTAAAAACTATTATATTCAAATAGCAAATTACTCAGTATACTCGGTTCAAATAAGATCATGACTCGGCAGACGAGTTGTGAGCATGAGCTTGGCTTTTTTTGAGCGTCGACTTAGTAGAGGAAGTGTCTAATAAAGCGTCTGATAGACGCCAGACAAAAACTGGTTGTTCCGGGTCATGATCTTATTTTAAACAGAGTATAGTAACAGTAATACAGTGAGTTATGGATGTGATCACTCATTTTAGAATCAACCATTTATTGGAATCAAAAAAAAATCCTAAACCAAATCTTATGTAAATAATGTTAAATTTTCCTTTTATTACAGTAACTATATACCGGATAATTGAATCACTTTGATGAATATTCTTATCATTTTTATTTTTCAAACTGCTTCATTTATCAGGCCAATTGTATTTTTGAACATATCTGTGTGACAGAAACTAAATGGTTAAAATGCTAATGTAGATGAATCTTTGATATAATGGTTTAAACAAGCTAGAAATGTAAATTTACCAGTTAGTTATTCTATTTTAGAAGAATAAGCTATAAATTTAGCATTAATTTAGCTTTACATAATGATGATGTATTTAATTTTATATTACTAAAAATTATATACCATGAATATGGGTTGTAATTTCAGGCTAGTAGGAAAATTAAGTTAGAAGATTCTAGAGTGTAATCAAAAATTAAAAGTTTCTTTACATGATTTTAAGTTTATTTTTTATTGTTTTAATTTGTATTTAGTTTTAAGTATATGTATCTAAAAATATAGAATCATTAAAAAAAAAATGTTTTATTGAATCTATTAGTTAGTAGAATCAAAATAGCCTGGACCAATGTGATCACATTAATGGAACTCACTGCAGTACTAATTATTATTTTTTTCTTACCAACAGGATCGGTAGCAGTTGAAATTGGTGTTGATCTTTGAAGATATTTCATCTTTGCATTGGCTTTTTGTTCGCGTATATATTCTCGGCGCTTTCCCCACGAACTATACAGAAACAACAATGGTAAGTAAGACATATTTAAATAATAGTCCTAAAAGAATTAATATTTTAATAATAAATATTTACTGAAATTTATGACATTTAATATTTCTAAATTTGAATATTTTACTACAGTAATTTCGATACTCTGCATGGCTCAATGTTAAAGGACATGCTGAAAAACAATTTAAAATACATACACAATTTTTTTTAACACTTAGGTATAATGCAATAAAAATACTGTAAAATATTGTACAAATATTACTGTTTGCAGGAGAGATTGAAGATGAGGATGAAGCAACATTGATTTCATTCTGGGTTTCATTATTTAATTTCTGATACAAACAAGGTACATTTTCTACTGGAATTTCATGGTTCTAAAAATTAAGATACATTAAAAAAAATTTAATGAAACAAAAATAATTTGAAAAAATTCAATTTATAACAAGCACTAACTTTAAGACTGTTAACTCCTAGAAAATATGGCTTTGAAAATGAACACACTCTTGTTTCTGTATTCATATAAAGTGGCATACCACTATCATGATCTATTTTTTCCCATCCCTCTGGTAAATCATTTTCGCTACAACTGTTTTCATCTAACCCACATAAAGAAAATTTTTATTGGTTAATATAATAAAACAAGTTTATTAAAATTTACCATATTGACGAGTTGTTTCTTCTTTTTTGTATTCATGTTCCACAGTGGTTGCCTTTTGGTTGCAGAAAATAAAATAGTTATTAATTATTTTAATAGGAAATGATTATAGACCAGTATTTTATACTTAGTTGAAATCACAAGTTATATAACTAACAACATAAGTTTTACATAAAGTAAGAAGCAAAGTTCCAAATATGTGTAGGTACCTAGGTTTGGCTTGATGGAATTTAAGACAAGAAAAATACACTAGCATTATATAATTGTTCACAAGTACCGCTGTCAAGATCAGCTAGTAGTAAACATAATTGAAAATCATCTTGTTATGCTTACTTAACTAAAATAATATGTACTTTTTGTCCATGAAACACCTCACCCCCTATCCAAAATTAGTCGAAACGTTTGAAACTAAACAACTAAACAATAATTAGGTACTGTGCAAATTATTATTTTGAGCATAAACTGTTATTTACAATATTTTTTATTTGTTAATTTGAATTAAAATATTACTCTTGTACAAATGATGAATAGTATAAGGTACAATTATATTGAGTATAATATACATTATGTCATTATGAACAATAATAATAATAATAATATACATCGAAGTTAAAACAGAAAAAGCTGACATGTATTTTCAAAATTTTTTTAAATTTTATACCTAATAGATTAAAAACAAAAACTTTAACACCTTAAAGGAAAAACAATAAACAAAATATGCAACAAGTGTATATAGTAGCCTGGAACAATGTTGTATCTGGATGTGTCTAAAGGTGCCCCCTACGAGTGAATTCTAAATACAAGTTTGGTTTGCCGGTACCGATGTCCGGTATTATATTATGTAACATATCGAACATAAATCCTCGAGTCAGAACTTATTGTCAATATAATACCCACTTTGTCCTGCCCCCAAATTGATTACACACGAGCTATGGACACCTGTTATTCTGTATACGCTAGGGTCGCCCCTATGTCATTTAGCCCGACGAGTGTAATCGAAAAACATACCTTCGGCTGCTGCTGCATATTATGGTCATCATCGCCGTCGTTCGAATCGGATCCGGGGGCTAATTTTTCAGTGTAGGACATGACGGCGGTGTGGATGTCGTTGTCGAGGCCAGGTGTCAATGGTGGCGATAAACCGGGAACTGAGATAGTATATTATGACATCGCTGTGGTCGTTCAGTCAGCAACTCAGTAGACGGCTGCTACAGCCTCCACTCTCCGGTATGAATTACGCAGAAGTACAGAAAACATAAAAGAATAGTACCTACATATAGAATATACGAGTATTACGCATGGATAATAAAGAGATGAATAGACTATTGGAGTTTATCATTCATTCCTGTAGTACTATCAATTTGAGGTTATATAGGGTAGATATTAATCGCGCGCAAACCTACAGTATTTCAATTATACTACTAATATTTGACCAATACTTACATTTGAAAAAAAACAATACTTAATTTGATAATTTATTGATCCATATTTTGTTTGTCTCATTTATTCTATTCATATCCAAAATTAATGAATTCTTTGTACCTATTTGAAGTTTGAACATAACCTTAAATAATACAACGTGTAAGAGAGAGAACAGTCTTAAAGACGTTTTCTCTCTCCCACAAAAATAAACACAACCCCGCACAGTGTTAATATAGCCATGGCTTATCCATATATATGTATTATCTATGGTATTGTGGTGAACCTTCACCACATAATTCCCCTCCGGGGCAGGTAAACGTGTTGAACAGTTGGTCACAATGTTTTAGGCGGCACAACCGGTCGCCTACTCGGGCAGCGGCGCCCCCCCCCCTCTGTTGTTCTTTATTGATCCGAGCTTATCGACCGACATACCGCACGAGCGACTTTCGATCGACCTCCATTTTGTTGCACCTTTTAAACGTCACTAAAACCTCGTGACCACCGTCATCGTGTTTCATCCGCGATTACCTTGTACACCCAAAATTGTTATACCCTTACGCCGATCGACGCCGAATTTGTTATTTTGTTTAGTCAATAAACGTAACTTATTTACTTTTACTATGTTTCTCTGTTCCCTCATTGTCATCTCCTACCTCCATACAGCTATCACGTGTGAATGATCGTTGGAGGTCAGCGCGACGTCGGTAACATTCGTTTACGCTAGTTCACTCAATACTAGAATACGGCAGGTTACCTGGCATTTTTATCTTGCTAAAGATCAAGGTCTGAACGGGAACAATACCTTTTAATCATACCAGGGATATGACACTGTATGAATTAGCCGAATCAGGCGATTGCGGCCTTTGAACACCGCCATGGCATACGTGAAATAGGGAATGGTAAACAAGCAGTACTTTGGCCTTTGAAGTAGTAAACGTTTCCTGAATACAAGGTTCCAACTTCATGTTGGTGTATGGGCTTGTTTCCTGGATTCAGACTTCAGTTCTTAGATAAACTAGAACTCGATCAGCTGATCAAGTGTCATTTCTATATTGTTCTATGATCATAGATATTAGATTCTATAGATCATCATCTATACCTATCTAAAATATGAGCTCTTTCCTGCAGTGTTTTTAGATACTTCGGGAGTGAGTAATACTTTATCACTGTTATAAATTATGTCAAAATTGTTACTTACATATTATATTATATCATACTACTATATAAAATAGAACCCCCTAGTATAGTTTTCACTAATCAATAGGTCTAGATTCAGGGAAGGTTTTAATATACAATTTATTCGTATAACTTGATTGATAAAATTACAAAATTATTTGTGCCATACATCCGTGTATTTTAATAGCATAAAATTATCGCCTCGTGCACAGATTTCTCTTCCACAATGGCACATTTATAAGACTTAAAAGAGTGTTTCGAGTTCGAACCACTGTATCAGGCACTTTTTTTTGTGTCGTTTTTCCGCCTTTTACTTAGCTATTAGTTTTCAACGATTATTATATCGGTTATATAGCGTAATCTTAGTTTTGTTTGTAGAAACATAATAACTGAGTCATTTCAGTATACAGATAACACATTAATTATCGTTGTCGATACGCATGGTGTGGGGGAACTGCTGTGCGTATGTTTTTTGATGTCTAATTTCCTGGACATAATTGAAAATGTTTACCCAGATTTATCTAATATTTCGACTGAAGCGTCGAGTTGGATTCAAGAAAGGGCAATATTTATCAAAAAAACAAATGACATGATACTGTTAAAATTCAATGCTCCAACAAAAGTGAACTATTCTGTTGACACTGTTTTAAACACAGAGGAGGCAATACATTATCCAACTGAATTTTTAAATTCTTTATCTCCTTCAGGGACTCCACCACACAAATTAATTCTAAATGTACGTTCTCCTATAGCAGGGATGGCAAACCTTTTGAACACTGCGTGCCCAAAATTAGTAATAACCTTTTTTTAGAGCGTGCCATTAAAAAAATATTTTGTTATACTATAATTTGATTGTATAATGAATGTATTAGAATAAAAAGGTTAGTTTAGGTTATTAGAATTTAGAGGTCCTATAATATTGGCGGAAGCAATGCGAAATGCGTCAACGATTTCTAACTAATAAAAAAAAGTCCTATATTATTATTTATAATAATAAAAATGTTCGCGTGTCCACACAATCTTTTCGCGTGACATCTCGGGTACGCGTGTCATGGATTTGCTATCCCTGACCTATAGGCTATAATTTTACTTCGTAACTTAAGTGCACCAAAATTATGCAACGGTACAAGATTACAAATAAAATCTTTAAAAAACTGTCTGCTTCAGTGTATAATCCTTACTGGCTGTGTAGATGAGGAAATGGTCTTGGTTCCTTAAATACCAATAATACCAACCAATTTGCCATCCCAGTTCAAACGGCTCCAATTTTCCGTGAAATTAAGCGTTGCAATGACTATTAATAAAGCACAAAGTCAAACATTAAACGTTGCAGGTTTAGACTTAACCGTCCAGTGTTTTTCCCATGGTGAATTGTACGCAGCTCTGTCACGCGTCACAGGCAAACAAAATCTATTTGTGCTGGCCCCAGAAGCGAGGCACTTAAAGTGGTGTATACAGAAATATTTAATGCTTAAGACAAATTGATATAATTGACAAAAAATAAAAATCATACATATAACAAAACAAATATGTATATTCCGCACTTATATATAAAATTATACTAAAAAAAATAATTAAACAAACTTTTCACATATTCCTAAACATATATAAATGTACTGAAATCTAGCAATAGCAAAGCATTGCTCGGTCAGCTAGTAATATATATAATATATTACTTGTAATTGCCATCAGGCATTAATTAGTTAAAATAAAATAAATGATTGCAAGCATTTTGTTAACAGAAAAACAAATAATTCTAACATTTAATCCACTATTAAAACAAATGTATCTAATGGTTCAGTACCTAATATTCATTCATATTTTATCAAACAATATAGACAATTCCACATCAAAAAGTTATATATTTTAGACTCTGAGCAACATACTTAATATTTTAGAAAAGTTATAATTATAGACTTAAAAAAACAATTTTAAATTCATAAAAAAAAGATTACATATTTTAAATAAATATACTCTAGTTATGCTATATTAATTATGTTGTCAAGTTAATTTTTGATTGTGATGACACCTTCAATCAATGGAATAAGAACAAAACGACTATACATGTTTTGACAAATTACCACCAAATCTAATAAGTTTACAGTAATAAGTCTCCTGAAACATTTAATTTATACCAAATAAAGTGGAATTATTTTTTTTTATTAATGAAAATTATATTACACCTATTACCTTTGCATCCTGACGACCATAAATTAACATTTTGTAAATAATATGAAACCAAATGCATGATAACTTCTATCACGTGCAGCTCACTTGTCTTTTGCCACCGTGAATCATTAGTAGAATAAATCCTTCAAGACAAATTAATTAATTTAATGATTTTAAATGATAACACTTAAATGACACAGCTGTGAATAGATAAAATATATTACTTTTTATGTATTGCCATCAGACATTAAATAGGAGCACCAATATTTAACATAGTTGTGTATACAAATTCTAAATCTCAACTCAAGTTATAGTTCTTTTTTTATAGTCCGCAACTATTTTATATAAAATTAATTGCCTCGACCCCAGGTAACCACCTAATTATACACCTACCTACATTTTAAAATTCCATTTCTATTATTTATATTTATATGCATTTTGACATTTTACGTCGAAATATTTTATACATCTCAGTGGGTAAGTCACAGATCAAAATAGTAAAACTAAATTTTTTTTTTTAAATATTACCCTAGTAGTTTTAAAACTTGATATTCAAGATTAGAATGTGACAATGAAACTATTCGGCTTATAGATTTACCATCAGGTCCAAGATCATACAATTTAATTGAATTATTTTCGGCCTGAATACTATATAACAAGAATTTCACCTTGGGTGAAATCAGCGGATGGAATGAATCGTGTTCAAAATTACGGCGAAGTTAGAATCTGGCGATCGGACTTAGTTTTCAAGTTTTAGCTATTTAAAGTTCGAGACCCACCCAAGGTGGTTTTACATAACAAGCCGATGGATGTTTTTGATTGTAATTGTCTGAGCGAGCACAGTGGACCACGTTGGTGCATAGTATGTAACTACAATAAATTTCAATTAGCAATAACTTTAAAACCGAGTTCGACCTCTAAATTCTGACTTCGCCGTCGTTTTCAACATTCTGAACAAATATTGTTGAAACAAAAAAAAAATGCAAAAAGGGTGTCCTAAAAAACAGATAAGTCGCAAATCAGCATTGACGCTTATTGATCTTCGTTGCGAAGTTAATATATTATTTGTATTATTTATTATTTATCAGTTATCACGGTACAGCATATCGTCGCTATCGTCTAATTGGTGTAATTGATAAGGAAAACACGAATATGACGTGATCAACAGCCCAGGTTAACAACAGTAAGGCCCTATCGGTAGTGCTTTGACAACAGCAGCCGTGACCAGGGCCGGTTGTCGCTGGGGGTGACTTCCTTCTTAGTTTTCTTATTTAACTTAGGTCAGAGGTCTACGTCTATCCGTAGGCTGAAGGGTAGGACGGGTTTACTCGAGGATTTACTTGAATAAATTAGGTCATCCATATGCCCCCACCATCCCCCCCTCAATACTCTAAATAGTATAATATTGTACATTATACTTATGGCACTTCGGTACCTAGATATTGTTTGCGCGATAAAGCTCTAAGGTTGGAACTTGGAAAAGAAGGTTATTAAAATTAAGACTTGTTAGATTTATAAATAATTATTATAATTTATCTTAATCATTGCCCTATATTGTACGACGTGTTAGGTTAATTGTGATTTTACCATCGTTCTAACTCGTTGTAATACGTATGTTTCCCGAACCAAAAAACCAAAAAACCAATGAATATGGTTTGTAGCTAAAGCGAATTTGTTCCGGCCATATTCTACCACGTACATGATCTAATGTAGTAGTATTACGTAAAAATGATTATTATCATTAAGTTCATATTGTACAGTATAATGTAATCTATGTTATTATCTATAAACTTTGGCCAAACCACAGCTGTTTACGGCGATAAGAAAATTAACAATCAATATTGAATATTTTAATATTAATAATTATAATATACATTAGTTTTTTAATTGTACCTATTACCTACGGAGTACAGGCTACAATTAGGTAGGTATTCGTCATATTTTATTATTTTGTAATTGTCGACCTACTGTTCTTACCTATTGTTTATTTTGTTGGGTTCGTTTACTCAGGATGCTACTATTTACTTTTGGGTAGTACTAAACAGTACGAGTTTGATGCAAATGTCGGCTTCAGGCGACTATTGGTCGTTCTGTCTCGAGACGATCAACCCAATGCAAGATGTACGTGCTGGACTGGTACGTGAGGTGGGGTCGTTAGTGACATGGTCGGTGTCATCATGTAAATCTGGTATATAACTATGACATTACCTATTATGCTTTAATTGTTATGTTATATCTTGCAGTGTTGTACCTAGAAAATTTTTATGTGCAGGTGAAATATTTATTCATCCCCGAGTTCATCCTTACCATTTCTGAAAAAATGTAGTCAATCAATTTGGCCCAAAAGCAATTAAATAATTTAATTGTAACGTGAGAAAGATATTTGTGTGTACCTATAGTAAAGTAAAGTATCATATTATTTTGATAGTTAGGAACCCTTGAATTATGAGTGAACGATGGTAGGTATGCTTGATTCGATTATGATTTTTTTTAGATATTCAATGTGAAAATTAAAATTTTGCAACTACAATATTCGTCAATTTAAAATAATATAGTATAATATGTTCATTGTACTGATATTTTTTTATCTTAATGCAGTATGAAGGGGTTTTACAAGGGTTTTACTATACTGAGAAGATAGCTAAGTATAGTATAATATATACAATGATATGAAACATGATAATATTAATTAATCAATTGTATTTATTTATTTATATTTGAATTTATAGTATAATAATACATACCCGTATTAGATCTGTTTAACCTGTCATTTGTATCACTATATAAGGTCCATTAATATTTAGTTAGCATCGCCATATTGTATTTTCATTGTTATTTACTAAGTGTTTAATTAACATGAACATTGAAACCAACCCCAATTTCGAATTACTAAAAGTACGGAACTGTACAAAATAACCTGTGAAATGAGCCAAGGTACATATTTAAACGCTTAAAAAAAAAAATATATATTTTATAAATAAAAAATGAAATAAAAATAAAAAAATAATAATGTTACAATATTTAATAAATGTTTTTTTATTTTTTTTTTAAATATGTGTATTATAATTTATAGATATAAAAAGTACAAAGTTTATTTAGTATAATATAAGATATAATACAAAACAGTATTATATGCTGCAAAATAAAAAATCATTAGTTATCAGATTATATTTCCGATAGTGCTATTAATAATATGTTATATTAAACGGTTAATTCAATTAATGAGGTTCTGTTGTATTACAATATCATTTATTTTGGATCGAGTGGTCTGAAGTATATTCTTGTAAAAAGTGTGTCCCCCTCACCATGATACCAATGATGTATTATTATATTAATATTCTTAATACTAAATTAACTACATAGCAAATCAAAATCATTAAACATGCATTTTTTGATTAGGTTTTGGTGTGAATCACTTAAGAGATGACAGTATAGAAACATATTGGCAGTCATGCGGACCACTTCCACATTTAGTTAATATTCAATTTAGACGTAAAACTGTTGTGAGTGATATATACATATATGTTAACCATAGACTTGATGAAAGCTATACACCAAATATCATATCAGTCCGCACAGGTACAAATTTTAATGACTTACAGGAGGTTGAGTTAGTTGAACTGTGTGAACCATATAGTTGGATAAGGATAAAGATAAAAGATATATGTAATTTATCATTGAAAACCCATTTACTGCAAATAGCAGTTTTAAAAAATCATCAAAATGGAAATAACTGTCATATTAGACTAATTAAAATACATTCACCTGTTTCTACTAAAGATTTTCTTCTGGGCAATTTTAGCACTGTAGAAATGCGACAATATACAACTATAAAATAAATTTTTTAAACTTTCTATTAAGTACATTCTAAGTCATTAAATTACCCATATTAAAATTCATGAATAATAATAATAATAAATATAATTTAAAATTAATTTATATCAGACTTCATGATAAATAATATTGCAAAAATGTTCTCATTTCAACAAAAGTTACAAAATAACTGACAATCCTTAACCGAGACTTAAAATAAATTAGTGTAGACGCCATAATATCACAGATTATATAAATATGTGTTAATATAAAATATATTAACACATTGGTACACAACAGTATTTTTTATCTGTCCTTTTGTGTATTATAGTTAATTTAATCAAACATTTTGTTTTAACTTGTATAAGTTTCACAAGTTTTAAACAGATTTTTAAATATGTCATCTATCTTTAAACATTTATTTTATTTGTAAACTTACTTTTATTAAATTTGATACAAATAATCTTATCATTATTAATATTAATCGTTTTTATTTTGTAAATTATCATAAAATAACTATATAATAGAAGTTTTTAAAAAATGTGCAACATTTTCATTAATAGAATGTGAACAGTGTATTGTTAATAATAGTTTTATTGTATTATAAACATCTTAGATACTAATTGTATTTACTATTGTATTGTAATATACTATTTCATATTTCAAGTAGGTAGGTATTAAAACAGTTTTCTACCGGTGTTTCTTAACGAACAAGTGTGCTGTGAACAGGCTGTAGGTGTAGGCCACTATCATATTGTGGTATTTTCACGCCTATTGTATTATTATAAAAAAAAAAAATTTCCCAGTATATATTATGTACAATACTACTATAATATTTTTTCAAAATGTCTTGTAATAAAAATGAAAAATTGAAAACCTCTGTATGATTCTTATGACATTTGACATGACATGTAACAGTGAAACCTGTTTATGAGGCCATTTGATATAATCACGGGGCAATCAAACACATCCTCTAAAGACAGGGACTTTTAAAAAAACCATCTTTTTGCCAGAACATTATCATTTTTTTTTCCATTGAAGAGAGGTGTCTATTATATACAAGTGTCCTTAAAGACAGGTTTCACTGACTTTATACTACATTATACTAAATATTTTTTTAATATTTCCACTTGCTTTGAGTTGATTCTACACATTTGAAACTTGTTTTAGTTAATATTTTATTTTATTTTCTATTTTTCTTTATTTTCTAAAAATGTCAATAAGTTTTTTTTATTTATTAAAAGGTTTAAAAATTTAATACTATGTTCCTGAAAAGTTATTTTAATAGTAGTTTAAAAATATTAAAGGTACATATGCACAACTATTTTTTATAAACATTTCAAGTTCATATTTTGAAAATAATTCATCAAAATTACCAGGGCCTTGTCTTTCCCTCCTCTCCATAGGTTAACTATCAACTATTTCTCTATTTATATTATATAACCTACATTTTTATTAGGTGTACTATTAAATCAATATTGTGCATATTGTATGTAAGACTACCGGGTGCCTCCCTCTTCCTTCTCCTGTCACCTAACTAATAAAAGTTGAAAATGAATCAGTATTACTAAATTTGAAAAAACTGTTAAAAGTAGCTTTAACGCTCCCCACTACCACAGCTTTTTGTGAAAAATCCTTTTCTGCTTTGCGAAAGATTAAAACATGCCTTAATTCATCTATGAAGCAAAATTGTTTTAATGACTTGGCATTATTGTCTATTGGAAATTCTAAGAAATTTAAATTTAAAAAAAAATATGTGATGAATTGGCTAAAGAATCTAGAAATTTATATTATAAAAAACATATTTTAATAAATTTAATATTTCGTAGTTAATATATTGGTTGTATTTAAATGACAAAATAGTAATTAACACAATATAACGCTTCTAACTAAAAATAAGTATTGTTTTGGATCATTCTATGTAGTAATTTATGGTATGAAATGTTTAAATATGAAGCCCACCCCCATGTATTGTACCTTTAAATACACCCCAGAAAATTACGAAACTGTATGAGATTATGTACATAGAATGACAATCTTCACGAGTTGGGTTGGATGCTAAACAGCGTTTTCTGAGGTTTCTCCAAACATCTTCAATTTTTGTTGATAATTTCACCACGCGCTTTGTAAAATTAATGACCTATCTCTAGACGTGACAATAGCAGATCTGTTAAGCTTCTAGATACTTATGATTTTTTGAATGTATATTAAAACAAAAAATGTGTACTGCAAATAATGATTATAAAAAAGCAATAGAATTTGCACTAAATCTGAATTTATAATATAATGTATAGTGTGTAAAAAAATATTTGTTTTTAAGGTGCTATTGTTTGGCATATACTTTAATTAGTTTATAAATACATTTTTAGTAAGTAATAGATATGAGTATAATAATTAGATATCTTATTTTAAACATTTATAGATTTGCTTGAAATAGATAAATGCAGTTAGTCCTTAAATTCATATTGTAGTTGACACTTAAAATGATTAATTCATTAAATAAATTATATACATAGATGTCATAATAACATGAATAGTTAAAATATAAAATAAATAGTAATTAATTTAGCTTATGGTACATTCTATATTAAAAAACAAAAATAACTTAATACACGAGTACCTTCTCTCAGTAGAGTACAAGGAGGGTTTATAAACTAATCTTTTCCTACATAGTTTATTAACAAACAAATTGTGCTATAAATATACAATTTTATCAATCAAAAATAATAACAAGATAGGTATTAGCAAAACATGAAGAAAAGCAATGTTGATAACACAAATAGTTTCTGAAGTCATACAATTAAAATATAAAGTGCCACGACCAATTAATTATGCAAAATGAGATTTTGCATTTGATTTATAAATAACAATATTCACATTTTGACGAAATTGTTTTCTTACTTTATAAAGAAAAATAAAGCGTGCAAATACATTAAATTCACAGCTCTGTTGAAGAATTATAATATTGAATAATATAATAATACAATATACTTAAATTCATAAAGTGTAATAGGTAAGAACTATATGTAATTAAAAATTATGAATGTATGAAAATTAAATTGATATCAAACTTTATTCACTACAAACTGTTTACAATTTTATCATGCTTTCTAACAGTCTCTACTGACTATTCTTTCAGTATGTCAGGATCAGAATATGACTAAAATACTTTAGAAAAATACAGGTAAATAATCTCATGTTAGTGGCTAAATAGCAGGGAAAAACATAGATTGATTAATCTTCATTATCTTAATGAGATTGGTGCTCCTTTATTTGCCATTTAAAATTAAAATGCACTACATGTCATGTTTCTATTTTCTACTGGTAGCATACCCGTTTAGTAGCAACAGAAATATTTTTAGTTCCTATAACGTGGGCTACAGTATCTGGCCATCACCATTAAACCTACTTGCTCCCACTACCACTACCAATCACCACAACCTCCGTTTTAATAACATTCTACGTTCTAAGTACCCCAAGTCACCTCCTTATTCGAGCCAATAAATATTTATGAATTATAACTTAATACTTTATTTGGATGTATTTGGGTGTATATTGGTTTTAAAAGTTATTATAAATTATTATTTATCAATTATAGTAATTACTTTTAATAGTAATTAAAAAAGTATTTTATCTTAAAATTTTATATATTAAGATTAAAATTATCTGATTATTCTTTGGATTTTATAATGATACTTTATCCATATATATTTTCAAATAATAGTTTTGGATAATTTGCTTTTAATGAATTAATTATAAAGAATTTTAAAAACAAATTAATTACAAAAAGAGTCTAAAATGTTAAACAATTTATGTCCATCATTTTGTTACAAATTAATAATACTTTTAAATTAAGGATGTGAAGAGGATATATCAAAATTTAAAATCTATAGATGTGTTGAATTTGAGACTTCAGTGTTATATTATACTGCTAAATTTGGTGGATCGTCCAAGTCCATAGGAGATTCTTTTGTGTCCGGAAGATCTTCAGAGTCAGAGTTCAGAGACTTTTCTGTACTTGGATCTACAGACAACTTCAAATTTTTAGCTGAATCTCGCGGTGTTTCCTCAGTTGTAGGTGGGGCTGTAGACTCTATTACGTCCATAAATGAATCAAATTCTTCCAAACCATATTCCTATAAAAAATTGTAATTATGACACATGAAATACTTCATTGACAATTTAATTGAGCCCCATAAAGTTAGGTACTTATGTTATAAGTAAACCCACTTTGTTTACTTTAAAATAAGTTCCACAAAGATGTAAAATCCAATAATACAAAATAAATAACAAGTTTTTAGGTTTGTTGTTTGATATTGAAAGATATTTTATAATGTAATTTGTACATCAATTGTAAGGGGTTTTCTACGACCGCACTAACCAAGAAAACTACTGAACCGATTTGCCTGGAATTTTTTACTGTTATACCCAACACTTTGCTGAAGGTTTTAGTACTACTTTTGTCAATAAAAAATAAGTATATAAATAAGTTATTATTAATTAAAATAAACGTGTAAATTGGATACCTATCCCTTTTTAGTAAGAAATAGTCGCTGGCTGAAAATAAATAACAATCAAAATCTCTCGCGTTGCCCGGCAACGATTTTGATTGTTATTTATTAATTGTTTATTGTCAAAGCATATCTAGTTTGTGCTTGATTTGATAAAATGTTTTTGATTCTACTTATGAAGGTTTATTGAGAATGCTAATATAGTTAAATTTCGGGTAAGCGGCCAATTCATCATTATGCCGTATTGCCGCGAGTGCCAAGAGCACGGATTGAAAGTAAAATAAAATACAATGAAGTCGCTTTTTTATAAACTCCCAAACTACTTACTAAATAGTCGAGCAGTTTTTTTTAAATTAAAGAGGACATCACAAAAAAGGTTGTAGGCATAAATTTAGTCCGATAAAGTTAATAAATAATTAGTTATTATTACTTAAAATAAATAGGTAAATTGTACACCTATACCTTTTTTTAGTAAGAAATACTCGCTGGCTGAAAATAAATAACAATCAAACTCTACAACTACAGAGCTTCTAGGCAGATCGGTATCGACGTGGAATAATAAACAATTATGATAATTATTTAGTTTAGCAAAAAAAAAAACAATTAATTTTATCTGAGTATCTGCTATTAGTATTTATAATCAATCAATGGAGGTTACTGGCAGCAAATTATATTTAGTTGAACTCTCGAAAGGTCAAAATTTAAAATCAAAAGTTCTATTTTGTATTTTTCAAAACATTCGGCGGAGAGATACCTATGAACATTTTAAAATTATAGTATTATTTATACAATAATTGTTTTTTAACCTTGGTAACCAAAAACAGACGATATAATTTTTTGTCAACATTATGAAGAATCCGTGGTGGCGATGCTAAATTTATACGGATACATTACCACGGAGACGTGACTAAAAATGGTCTAAAATAAAAATAATTATTTAAAATCCAGAAAATAAATATTACTATAATATCTGAGAAATCTTGCAATAGCGAAGCATTGCCGGGTCAGCTAGTATATTATAATTTATAATTGTATATTATTTATACATATATTTAGAATTAAATCAGTAACTTGTGGAGCACTTGCACTTGAAAACTTACATAAATATTGAAAAAAAACGAAATTTTAAGTGTAAGTGAAAAACACTTGGAATCCATAATAGGTATATGGTTCAAAGTTAATCAATTTTAAATTAATTCCTGAAAAAACTTCAAAGTACTTCTTAACTTCAATATAAAAATGTTTTGAGATTAATCTGTAGTTTAACATATTGAATAGGTAGGCAAATTATATGACTTCATAACTCTATGCATTTTATAATGTTATTTCTGGTGACTCAATCTATGAAAATTTCTTTATCTAATATGAATTGTCCATACAAAAATTTACATTGAACACAAAATTTAGTTTAAATTGGAAATTAATACAGATTACATCCTTGATATTTATACTTACTCGTTTGAGAAATGCCGTTAAATTTTTCAAACATTCTTTTTTTGTCGAACTGTATTTTAAAGTATGTATTCTAGGTGCAGTGCACTTTTTGGAACAAAAATGATTTTTGAAATTTGATGTATCAAGTTCTCTTGTTTCAGTAACTAGACATTTACTCCAAAATTCTTTTTCCTTTTTACTCATTGTTATCTTATAAGGAAAAAATGTATTTTAGATATATTTTAATATAATTATCTGTTTAAAATAGCTTACTTTGACGTGCATGTATTTATTGACTGCCCATTTAGATTTTCTAATACATTTTTCAAACTTATTTGATAATACAGTAATCCATTTATTACGACGTCTTACTTTAACCTTGAAACCAACTATGGTTACCACTACTTTAATGTTTGGAAACATGTCAACAACCAAGTCAGATATATCCAACTAAACATAACACAAAAACACTGATGTATGCATAATGTATAACTTTTAAATGAAATATTTCCAATACCTAGTGTTACTAGTTACTATGTATTAAATAATAATGAATACTAGTATTCTGATATAATATTTATCTAGTTTGAGTATGATATTTTTAGTACAAAAAGTGTAATACAATTATTGTATATCAATTGTATAGTTTAAAACTATAAAAAAAATCATTAATGATATTTAAAGCTGTTGGTATCAGTGAGCGCTTCCATTCAATACGTTTTTAGAATATTAAGCAGAAGATTAGTTATCCAATATTCTGTTTAAATTTTAAATATATGTTTGAATTAAAAAAAAATTGTGATTATAAATAAATAGGTATATAGTCATAAGACATATTTTTTATATTATTGAATAGGATTTTTGGAAGTAGCTGAATTCTTATTTTAGAATTCTAAAATTAATTAATTAATTAATTATAGAATTATAGAATTATAGAGTTAAAAACACCAATATGACCATGTTGTGTGAGTGGAATGGGTCAAAAATGCATAATTATAACAACTTTATTTATTATGTATGATGAAGAAAGTGAGTCATATACGTAGCAATTTAACATTGATTAAGAATTTCCAAGAACTTACGTTATTTATGCTCTGCTATACTAATGTCTTCAAAAATCAAAAATAAAATTGCCTAACGTTCTCATACCTTATGAGTTAGTCAGTATAGTAAGATATTATTTACAATCCATAATTAATTTTCCAATATGCTACTTATTAGTAATTACCAAAAACTCTTCAACAGCCATTATAGATTATTAAGAAAATTATAGGTATCCTATATATTTAAAAATATATTTTATGTTGATTTTTAATAATTTTTATAGTGTTATTTAAAGTAAAACCACAATATATTTTGAAAAAATAAAAAATTATCCTGTGCAATAATTACTTAAGTATTCTTACATTTAAAATAATTTTATCATTTGTTTGTCTCCACCAATGACGATCATAATCATTTCCAAGATGGATATTACGATCGACAGGAAGTCTTCTCCTGAAAAATTAAAATAAATATTAATGTATACGTATATTTTGGAATGTACATAATTGCTAAATGTTTTTATACATTTATGACGAGAAGAATAAAAAATCACATTACAGAATGTTCTATGGATAAGTATTAAGTAGACCTGTCATTTATTTGAGATCAAAAATTGAGACATTAAATTTAGCGGGTAGTACATACAAGTATACAACCCCGTTCCTCCCCCCTCCAAACAAGCAATTGTCCGAATATATTGGAGATTATATTCTTAAAGAATTAAAAACTAATAGGCCGATTTTAATGAAAATTCTGTGATTATTCTAGAACAGCCATACTCAAACTTCGGCCCTCCAACGATTCACATGTGGCCCGAACAGAATAAATGTTCAAATGTTATACAATATACACAATATATAAATTTATTTTTAGTTTGTTTTTTAAATTTCCGTTCCATTCATTTCGACTTGCGGGACCGCGTAATATTTTAAAATATTTTATGTGGCCCAAATAAAAAAAAGTTAAGTATGGCTGTTCTAGAAGATATCAGAAAAATGTAGAGCAGTTTGAACCATGTTAAAAATTATTGTAAGTGATATAATATCGAATCCAATATAGGTGGATTGTCTATTCTCGGTTGAATAACTTCACAAGCAAGGTACACCAATGCCCATTTGCCATTGAACTGAGATACACTAAAACCAAGATACACTGATGTAGCGTCATGTGTTGTATAATTTATATATTTTAATTTTTTTTCGCGTGAAGTTAGTTTATATAGCTAGAACCTATATTATATTTCATCACCATTTGTAGATTTAAATTAAAACTTACCTTAGGTAAGTATGATAATCAGCCATAGTTGGCATTATTATTTTAAAACTTTGGTCGCTGTCAACATTTGTCCCAGTTGACTGTGATATACCGTTTAATGTAATCTTTCTACTTTCCGTGCGTGTGTAACTAAAAATCATAATTATCAATTAAACGTTCTTAGATAAAATTGAATTAAATTATCCCTTACAAATATTTTGAATATTTCAACATCTCTGCATAATTCTTGATACTTGATTTAGCCCTTTTATGAACACATGTACCGTCCCTTGTTTGAATAAAGGTATTAGCACTTAGGGGTGTACTTTTACTAGCATCTGAATTAGTACTTGTATTTGTACTTTCACTAGCATTTGCATTAGCACTTGTGCTTGTACTTTCACTATCATCTGTATTAGCACCTGTGTCTGTATTTTTACATGCATCTGTATTAGGACTTGTGTTTGCACTTTCACTAGCATCTGTATTTACAATTGTGTTTGTACTTTCGCCAGCATCTGTATTAGTAATTGTTTTTGTACTTTCACTAGTATCTGTATTAGCACATGTGTCTGTAAGTTTACTAGTATCTGTATCAGGACTTGTAATACTAACTAGTTTCTTCTCAATTTTCTTCAATATGTCATCGTCAAAAACTTGACTTGTCAAATCAATAAAATTGGGTACTCTAATACATAAAATGTAAGCACATTAATAATTATTTATAACTGTTATTATAATAGAGTAATATATTCAAAACAATGCATTTAATTAAAAACAAATAGAGCATTAATTTTATTCTTATTATCATAAGATCATATATATCAATATATGTATTATAGCCTTGTAGGTATTCAGTAAGTACCTAATTATTTTGTCAATATTTTAATGGACATTTTATATATTCCAATTCATTTTATGGAATAAAAAAACATGGGAAATCAAATAGAAATTCTTGCAAAGTAATAAATACACATTTATACTTACTTCAATTCATCATTGATATTACTTGTATACCAATCAATAAAACCTTTTTTAAGCACTCCACAAAATTCAATCAAATCATTTGTTTGTCTTTGTCTTGAAGTTCTAAAAAAAAAATCTTGATCATATTATGTTATTAGATTAAACAGAAATTAATAGTTCTAATATTGTAGTTAATTCCTTTATATAGATTATTCCTTATACTATGATGTCATATATATGTGTATACAGTATACATATGTACCTATCATATTTTATTATGTGTGCTTATAAACTATATAACAAAAATGAGAACAATATGGTACCGCAATAGGCATCAGGTGGTGCGGGAGTGAGTATTTAATACCTAGGGGGGGGGGGGGGTGGATCAATAAATAACTGAGTAATTTTTAAAGGGTGAGGGGGTTGAACACAAAGGGGCTGTGTGTTTTGGTCGATCGAGTCCTGTAGGGGAGATGTGTTGGTCATCTTGAAAAGAAAATGTGGCGGGCTGATGGTCAGCCTGGCATTAAGAAGGAGTGAAGTAGAGTGAAATTGAATATTTAACAAGGTGGAGTAGTTTTAGGGGATGGGGTCCTTTGGGCCGGTGGGAGGGAGGGGGGTGCAATACCAAACGACTGCTTTTAAATGATAAGTAAATAATAATGCTCGTGCAAACGTTACCCGCAGGAGTAGTACACACTAAAAATTCGACTATATCTGAGAGTAGGTACGTAATCATTTATTTCACCTTATATCGTCTGAAATGATTCACTAGTTCATAATTTTGGTGGAAAGTTGATTCTAAACTTGGTGTAGGGTGAATAAAAATTTGTTGATGACTACTAACAGTTTATTTCCTAGTGTTGGTAGGCACATACCAGCCTAGTGCATACCTATCTAGCCAGGGGTTGGCTAATGTTTATTTTAGCCTATATTATAACATTATATTTAAAAAAATGATTTTGCAAAATTCTATACCCCCCCCCCTGCTCACACAAAATTATTGTCTACCCCACTGGATATATATGTGTATATCATATATTCATATGGTATAATTTATTGTATTAAATAATATATATGATAATGCGATTCAATATTAACATGGAATTTGTTTACGGGTAGAGGTTAAACGCGCTGAAAAAACATATAGTAATTTGTACAGACGTTTTGAAAAAATACTCGATCAGTGCATCGCTGTTTTTGAAAAATGACAATGTAGGTACGATACGGGAAAAGAATCAAACCCATTGTCCAAATAATGACTACAGGGAATCGGTGTAACCGGTCTATAACAACAATATAAAAATATATCGAGGGGTAGATAGGTTAGTCGAAGAACAGTGGGTGTGGTGTAGGGAGCGGGGGTCCATTATGTGAACTCGAAACGCACGGCAGAGTTGGTGGCAGGGGGTATGATGTATGTCGTTATTACACGTTAATAAAATATATACTGAGCACGTTATAGAGATCAAAATATGTGAGACGATCGTGGATAAAGTAGGTCACATTAAAATCTTAAACCCACAGATATGTATTTTTACAAGTAATATTATTATATTATTTAGTCATAGACTAGCTATCATATAATAAGTGCGAGGAAAACCTCACCTCTGGAACGCGTAATCGTTCATGGCCATCAACATGTGATCGAAGTCTGGCAAACGTTGTTCAATTTTCATGAACATGTCGTAAAATTGAGACCAGTCGATGTTGTCTGCGGGGCGCTGTGTCGGGATGACGTCGCCCTGTTCTGGGCGTGGCTCATCTGCGGATTCAGACATCTCGGGATGAAGGTTGAAAAGCGATCTGCGACGTCTGGACTGTCAGGGTGCTATTGCAAGAGTAACTCGAGAACGGACACCAGCTTTGGTCCCTGGGAAATCTGCGGAAAGCTCGCGCCGGCGTGTTGCACACGTACTGAGGGGGAATGAGGCGTGGCCCGGGAAATGGCCCGGAGTGGGTGTGGGCCGGGTGTGAAGCTGGTGGTGCGCCGGAGCCATGACACACAGGACTACGTGGACTATGCATGGGATGGAGTGCGGGGGTACATCGGGGAACTCAGTGAAAGCTGTGTAGCCAGGTTCATGGTACGGTCGTGGAAGCAGTACGATCGATACAGCTGGAAGCTGTGTGGGTGGCCGGGCCACCCAGTTGGCGCCATCACGAACTCAAATTTCTACTGTATGATGAAAGGTGGAAACTGTGATCGTTTAAGCTATGACGTTTGGGTGCAGGCTGAAATATGACCTAACAAGATGATATCCACGGGCGCCAGGACCTTCCTGCTCCTGCGTGGGTCCGCTAAAAACAAATATATTTTCTCGTTACAGGGTTTTTAAATTATATAATTTGTATTTAAAATAAATATATAATATAATGGGTATATTATACCCATAAGTATATCAAAGTTTAAATATTTTATACTTATTTCTATAACGGCCTAAAAGGCCAAATATTAATTATGTGGTCAATTTTTTGGTAACGCAATAAAGTACCAATCTTTATAATTTTCACTGCCCAAGCTTCCTTTAACATTGTTCAGTACCTATGTAAAAACATAATAAATAAAATAAATAACTGTTGTTAATAAACAAGGCCGTGGTTTGAATTGGTTGAACTACAATACTGTTTTATAAGCACTCACTTATGTCTTTTGTTCAGAAACAGGGAAAGTGTGTGATAACTTATAAGTAATATAGGTATTATATTACATCTGAACAGTGACCACCCTAAATCAGTCTACATAATTTCGTTCTAAAAAAATATAATTTAAGAAAAAAATGGCAGTCACTATTTTTATTTAGGTATAAAAAATATTTAAATCGTTCTAAAAAAATATAATTTAAGAAAAAAATGGCAGTCACTATTTTTATTTAGGTATAAAAAATATTTAAAAACTATTCCGGATGAAACTTGGTTGAAGACTCAATATTTTATTAAAGAATATAAGGAAACAGTTTTTTATTTCTGTACTTCAGAATTTCGGATTATTTAAAGTACACATTAAATCTCGAGATTTAATTAAATTTATATGTTTGTGTATTTAAGTTTCCATTCTCCAGCATTTATACTTTTAGTTAATTTAAACTCGATTTGATACTACAATGAATTAGGAAACTAAAATAATTTGTCTTTGAGTAGTGTATCATGAATTCGTGAAAAAGTTAAAAATTAACCCTCTAAATTAACTTTAGAGATTTAATTTTTAATTGTCTACGTCATCCTTAGCCATGTTTATACTAAAAATTGGTGGTACCTACACCTCTTAAACGTTAAGAAATAGAATCACTTCTACTGTCTTACCGGAAAAACTGATTGATACTAAAAAACATTTTGTAGCAAGTAATTAGTATATTTTTCATATCGTTAATATCTTATTTGTCTCACATGTGAAAATTATTAAAGCATGAGCACTATAAACTTAAATCAGATTATTTGAAAAAATGTATTATATATTTATATGACTATAGTACCTATACAATTTGCAAAATAGAATTTTGTATAGTTTATGCATTACAGCATTATAAATTATATTATAATAATACATTATAACAAATTTGATCGAACTCAATTCATTCTATATTATTTATATAGGTACATAAAACATATTTAGGATTTTAATTCACAGTCATGGTATTAATAAACTATAATATTATAAAAATATTGCTTGGTATATACATCAAAGTCATTAAAAATGATATATACCTATATACATTTAAACAGAATATATTTTATTTTTATTTTTTTATACACCTTATTAAAAAGCATAACTGAGCTGGGTAACATTAATATAGGTAACATTGTAACAATCAATATTTAAACTATCTATTTAAAAAAAATGTGTAACCTAGATTCATATTATACAAATATTATATTTATAACAAATGAAATGTTTATGATGTTTTTGTTCATCATTTTGTACATATTTATAATACAAGAGAGAGAACAAATTGTGTTCTTATATCGTATTCAACGAACAAAATATTAATTCAGTAAAATAAAAATAAATATTTAATGACATTGTGACGTGAGTTCGGGCAAAATAACGTTTCCCTCGTGACGTCTATCACGTTAACATTGCTCCTTTTCGTTTTCGGTGGATGTGGTGGGGGGTGGTAAACGATAATCTAAAACGGGAGGCGGGTAGACAAAATGGGATCAGGGGGCATTTGCTTGGTGTCATGACAACACCCTCTTACGATCAATAACTATCAAAAATAAATGCTCTGATATAAATTATTTCATTCAAGTGCATGTAGGTAATAAAAAAATAGGTAGGCACTTTATTTTTTTCGGACTAAGTATTACTTCCCCAAATTATAAAATAGTATGTTTTAAACTGGTTATCCCACATAAAAAAATGGGTTTTTTCCTAATTATTGTAACGGTATGGCGTAGCTGCATAGATGTGTTTAAACATGTCTGAGTCTGACGACTCTGAAATTTGGCCATATCAAGAACTGTTAACTTAGATAAACTCAAAACTATTTTTTAGTATTTTTGTTTCGATGTATTGAGACTAATAATTTGATATATAAGGAACTTCCAGGAAAAAACTTCAAGATAGAACTCAAAAAGTTCTACATAGCATGCCTTATATTAGTATACCAATTACAAGACAATTGTTGGGAAATCAATTCTTGTGTTTTGTGTAAGTATAGGTACTTTTTACCTTTCATATTATGACATTATATAGACTATAAATAATTAATTATGATTGATTTATGGTAGTCTAGAAAAAGAATTTTTTGGAAATTATCAGTTAAATGAACTAACAGTAAATTTACAAAAAGGACCTACTTACGTATTTCTTAGCCGCCAAATATACGATGTTAAATACAGTGGTGTGGCGAACTGAAAATATTTCAGAGGCAAGTAACATAAATCCCGAAGATTCAACCACCCCCTACTATAAACCCAAATAGAGGTGGAGAGGGGTAGGCTTAAAATAATCTTGTTTGAATTTTGATCAATTCTAATTACAATAATATAGTGCTCGAATATAAGTATCTTACTCATGTAGTCATAGTAAAGTATTATATATTTATATAATAAGAAATTGGTGGGTACCGAGTAGTGTACCTATCTATAAGTGAGTCACGAAAAAAAAAACTTGGAAAATCCCAAAGACAATTACCTCTGAAATTACTCTTCGTCATACTGGTTAAATATAAGAGTACCTGAGTACTAAAGCCTGTCTACAGTGACATTAGTCACAACTCACGCAGATGATAAATGGCAACACTTTTATCATCTGTCGATTCCACGTTAGAGTTTTTATACACTGTTAATATATTATATATTTACAAAAGGTATGGTTTGTAATTTTGTAAAATATGCTTGTGTCTGCGCCATCGAAGAATGCTGGAAGAAGACAACATTATAATAAAATATTATTTTTATATCCCTAAATATAATTCAATTTAGGCGAAGGCGGAGGCGGACGCCATGCTGGGCTGGTCCTTTTTGTATTTTCACCGTATTTTATTGTTCCGAACGTTTTTACTAAGATTTTACTTCTGATAATATCGCACAATACATTTAATGATTTGTGCTTGTGAACATATTCTAGAAAGATGTAGTAGGTACCTATACCCATGTATTCCACTCGAAAAATAAATGCCTACCATAAATAAATGTGTGACAGCTATTGAAATTGTACGTGGGTGCGGCTCGCTATTTAGTGAGGTTTGTATAGGCAGATATAAGATACCTAGTTGTTATCAGATGTAATTTATAAATGAAAATCTCTTTACCTTTTTTTTTAAAGAGAACTCCCTTTTTGCAATTCTTCTATAATTTTATCTGAATCTAATAGTGTTCATTTCTGTTTTTCCATGGCCATTAACATGAATGCTTCTAGTTTTGGATCCAAAATTTGACTACGAAGTCTTGACTTAATGTTTTTTAAGAAAGAAAAAGATTTTTCATATGATATTTGGGTTTATGGTAGAGTAAGTACATATTTGTGTGCTAAAAATGAAATAAAAAAAATGATGTAAGGCTCTTAGAAGCCTTAGCTTCTAAAAGTAGTTTTTTTTCGTCGAATTTTTTCAACTCCTCCTTTTTTATTGCAGTCTGATCCATCCATTTCCATTTTATTTTATAATTCACAACTATTAGGAGCTATTTTAATATAAAATATTCTATCAAATATTCCTAGTTAAGCACTTAGTAATTAAATTGTAAAATTAACCAAATTGTGAACTGCTGTCTATCGAGTGCTTATAAATGCTGAGGTTTTGAATGACGATTGATATTTTATATAAATAATATAATTTATAAATAAAAAATAAAAATATTCCTGTTTAACGACTTGCATCAATGATCATTCAGAGCCGTCATTATACCCGCAACCCGCCGGCCCATCTGATCGACGACAACTCGAATAACCAATTATTTTACTGTAAACGGAGGTTGATTTTTTGTATAGTTATTGTTATTTCTAATATTTCTTATTGATAATTAATATTATTATTCAGTTCGGTTGTAGACATTATATTATTACAATTTACAACGCTTTACGTTATAATATTATAGACTGTTATTGCGTAATATCACTAATATCATTGATTATAGAATGAATAATTTAAAATCAACGGTAATATTTATTAGGTTATATTTAAGTCTACTTTTCTGCTATTTACTTAGTACGCGGCCCATCGGGGATTTCCCGATTTCCCTATGGCCCAATCCGTCCCTGAATACTACTTTTTTGACTATATTTTGTATTAATTTTTAGTTTAAAATTGGTAGGTTGTATTTATATTTTATATTACAATTTAAAAATGTTCGTTTCTTTTGAAATTGAAATATCTTAAACAAATGAGCTTAGTTAGTAGATTACTAATACAATTAATAATCTTTACTTGAAGTTTGATGAAAAAAGTGAACTTAAGTTAATCTGGAGGCAGTTTAAGCTGTGTCGTGGCATGGAGCACAAATCTTCGTCCGTGCATTGAAAGGCCCCAAAGTAGCATAC